GTCCATTTCATTCTCTTTCATATTGAGAACTGTAGACATAGTAGCTATGTGCTTTCTAAGTTTGGTTGAGGATAGCATCTCTGGATGCACCGCACCACATTCTTTGGCTACCTGGCGTAGGGAGTCTGATCCCCTGATGTGGGTGTCTGCGCCCGGGCGGGAAAAGAAGTATGGGTTATGGTCAGAGATGGAACAGGCCCTTCTGTTCTCCACCAGCACCTCCATCGAAGCAATCATTTCAGGAGTCAAAAGAACCGGCACTTTCCGACTTCTTTTCCCTTTAATTTCAATGCGTTGAAAATGCTGACACAGCTTTTTCTCAAGTTGGGACAGTCCCAGAGCAATGTCAGAATGGATCCCAGTCTTACTTCTTAAGGTAAAGGCTGTCAGTGGCATCTTTGAAACCTCACCTTCCCTTCTTCGATTGAAAATAATGACCTGACAAAGAGTCAAAACTGCCAGTTTAGACCAATGCTTAGAGGTTGGCTCACTTATTAGGGTTTGCACATATTCAGGTCGACATACCTCAATATGTGCATGCATGGCTCTAACGTCCTCAGTCAGAGGGAGCAGGTCCGGAGTGTTCCACTTGGCTTGCCGGAGGGTCTGTAGGGCAGCAGAAGAAACACAGACGTCCCACCTCTTCTCAAAAAGCAGCCGGCTTCGTTGGAGGTTTTTAATAAATAGTTCATCAACACAATGCTCCATTTTTGAGTCACATTCAAGAATATCTGCTTTCTGAGGTTATGGCCGAGTTTGAGGGCCAAGGATGGAGTCTTGTATTGATTTGTTTCCTCATCATATCCAGCCACAGACCTGACTGCATCAATCACATGGTTAAAGTTGGAAGGAATAAAGAAATCCTTAATTGTTTTCAGTTTCCCTGCGGTTTTTGCTTCGTTAATTAACCTACCGACTTCTCTCATTTTCTGCCTAATGTAATCATGCTTAGTCTTATCACGCCCGTGTTTTAAGTACAGGTGCTCTCCGAGTCTCAGAATCCCCTTTTCTGCTTTGACAACACCCGTGACCTCATCCTGATGCATTGCCGAAATTAAAGACCACAGCTTTTTGCTGATGCCCTCCGGTACAGGCTGGGCTAGGGAGCAGAGGGACTGGACCCTACTTCTACCTGGTTTAGCCTGGTTTAGCCTGGTTTAGCCTGGGCATCTTTCTGTGAAAGCCGGCACCTGGCCACATGCCTCCACAGCGACTTTCGCTTAAAGCTGCACTAACTGACTTTATTTTTGTATTCATTACGAAAATGCTATCCATGTCCATGTAGTGCATTGGGATATACATCATTTTGAAGAAAAAGTAGCGCAGATTTGTGCTGGCGTGACATTATATTTTAGATCGAGTTTTGATGAAACAAGGAAGAGAATGTGTTTCGGGTCGCGGATTGTGACCAATAGCAGCGCACCACTAGCCCCCACTTTCGTGAGAAATCTACAGGTCCGTTAGCATAGACGGCTGAGTTAGCACAACAAGCGGCGGAGCTAACCTGAAGCTTTGTGTGTCTTCGTCATCGGTTACTGCTTACACAGCAAGACAGCCATCCAAAAGAAAGCCCCGTTCCTCCGCTCTTCCCGGTTCTATCGTTCTATGGTCACGCCATCCATGTGCAAATCCATATTCGTGTATTATCCATATTGGGAGACGCTAGCTCTGTCCCAACAGTGGGTGTGTGTGGGGGGCGATAGCTTCGTGGGTGCGGGGAGGGGAGCAGAAAGAGAAAGGCCAGCGGGTCCACGGCTTCAAAATCCCAAAGTCAGTTAGTGCAGCTTTAAGCAATGCCCCACAGTCTATACAGTGCAAAAACTCACTGGATTTAACTGGGGAATTTGGCTGTTTAGCTGGGACTAAAGTTCCAATGCCGGCCTTTAAAACCTCAAAATTGTGCTCACGGTTTCCACTATTCCTGATCAAATCAAACTGAAGTTTACGTGCTTTAGATTTCACAGGTAGAGCCAATGCTCTGGCTACGTCACTTTCATTTCCATGTTTTCTAGTCAAATGACGGGACATTTTGTGGCAGGACATTGAACAGTAGAGGCAGAAGTGCCTCTTGCTGTAAACTCTCCAGTGTTGGGCACGTTACTTTGAAAAAGTAATTAGTTATAGTTACTAGTTACTTCTCCCAAAAGTTAGTTACTAACGGAGTTACTCCACTATAAAAGTAACTAGTTACCAGTAAAAGTAACTATTGCGTTACTTTTTCGTTTTGTTCTGGAACATAATGTGCACTCGACGTGCGCATTTTAACCTTTAACCTCAGTGAGTCTGAAATATTGCCAATATTTCCATCTAGAAAAGACTGTTTTCTGCTGAAGTCCTGTTCACTCTTCATCTGTCTCTGTGTAAGCACTAAACACAACACGCTCCACTGTGAACGTGGAAACACCGGTGAAGCACTGACTTCAGTCCAATCAGATGAACATATATATCATATAAATCAAGTGGACCTAGAGAGCGGCTTATTTGTTTGGCTACAGCAGAATATGTTTCATGCCCGCATTGTTTGTTCATACAAAACGCAAAACTAAGAGTTATGGGTCTTACCTTATAAATGACCTGCACAGACCACTTCGGTTCAGACCAGTTCCATGTTTAAGTCCAGATAATAGTTTTAGCGTAGATATGTAATCCTCCATTTGGAAATGAGTCCAATGAGTTTTAAAAAGTAAAACAAAACGCGTGTCTGGTCCATAAACTCCTGTGTTTTGCTGCAGCCGGCTGCATCCAATTTCTAAAATCAACCGTCCCACACTTCACCTCTCTTTCTTATCATTCCTATAGTCATTGAAAAATTACCCTAAGTGCATTTTAAATTATCTTAAAATGTGTTATAGGTATGTTAGCCAAACCTGTTGATGTCCTTAGCAGATAAACCAGGAAGAGAAAGGAGCTTATCAATGGAATTGTATGCAGCCGACTTCTGCGCTCACATGCGCTCCTCTGAGGCTGGCCTCACGGTGATACAAGCCGTGGTAGAGTGTGATTAATTTGTTTAATTTGTTTAAAAAACACAATTTATGAGCCATCCTCTCAACTGTAGACATGTAGATTGTAAAGGAAATATGTTTTACATCAGCCAATAATTGCTGAGAGGTTTTCTCATCCTCCCTTCTCTCATGACAACACGCGCACGAGTCCTATCACGAAGTAAAAAGAGAAGTTCACTGTGCGTCTTGAGTAACGCGCAGTAACGGGATTTTTTTTATTTATTATTATTATTATTTTTTATTTATTTGATCGGGACAACACACATTAATGAACAATCATATACAGTTGTACACAGATTGTAAATGTGCCAGATTATAGCAAAACTGCTAATTTACATCTGTAGTCCCGAGGCAGGTCACACAAGTAAAACAATGTATGAACAAAACATACATACAAAACACAATATAAAAACTTTATAAATCACATTTTAGTTAAAATGAGTGCATGACTGATTTACTTTGATGTGATGTTTAAGTTGTTTAAGGATGCCGGAAATGATAACGGCGTTATAGTTACAGTCAAAGTAATTAGTTAGATTACTCGTTACTGAAAAAAGTAACGCCGTTATTCCCATCACTGAAACTCTCCTCTCATTTTTCTTCTTTTGCAGCTGCATGATAACAATCTTATTTGCCTTTGGTTTGTCACTTTCCGAGTCTTGAAGAAAAGTGTTTTTGATTTTTCTTTTTCCATACTTTTTTACAGGTTTCTTCTTGACAGTTAAATCGTCAGAATCTGAGTCGACTTCATCAATTAGGGACTCTTGACTAAGCTGCACAAACAACAAATAATTTGTAATCATTCTATATAACAATTTGAAGTCATGACTTGTAGTCAGCACTTACCAGTGGTTTGTAAGCGTGCGCTTCAGTGTGCTCCTCCATGATTTCTTGCAGCCTAATGAACCACACACTTGCACCTTTTTCTAGCCTGACACCTGATTTCCTCTGTTGTGCTGCTCCATGATTGGCTCCAGCCTGCTGGACTGAAATTGCCCCAGTGTGCCCCTCCTTGATATCCCGCAACCCACCACCAGGGTTCCGACACATAACACACCTTTTTCAGGAAAGTAAACCTCCAGGGGTCCTTTCCATATTTTTACAGAGACTGCATAAGGACCGTTAGAAAAGCATTACCCATTGATTATTAAGCTTGGACCAGTGGGGTCCGGTGTTCGGGCCCCACCACGTAAAACCAGTCCCCATGACGTGAGTGGAATCTCAGGTTATGGAACCCACCAGGAGTTGAAAACAAGTACACACAGACACACACACATACACATACACACACACAAACATACACACACACACACACACACATACAAACACACACACACACACACACACACACTTCAGATTATGAACTAACACATGACACACAAACTTTAGCATGAAGCAATTTAAAATGTGGAAAACTCTGAAAACCATCTTTTATTTGTAAATAATGGAAATCACAAACTATGAGTTTGTTTCGGTAAATGATGCAAACTTTTAACTTAAAATAATCTCAATAACATTCATATATGTGAACACACACACACTGAAATAAACGGATGAAACTACAGCTCTGTGTGATGTCACACAGTCTGCAGCACACCTGCTCATCCTGGTCATCTCTTATTCCATTAAACCTGCGAGACATTCTGAAGGACAAACCCACACATGTTCAGTGTTTGATGACGTCACAGTTGGTGACATCACCGTAATCCTACATTTCCCATGATGCCATGCGTGTGATAGTAGTAGTAGTACTTGTAGTAGTAGTTTTACTTATTGTCGTACTTGTAGTTGTACTTGTTGCAATACTTGAAGTAGTACTTGTAGTACTAGTAGTATTTGTAGTTGTAGTACTTGTAGTTGTACTGCTATTATGTCTCAAAGTACAGTACTACTACAATAATTACTGTACTTTGTATCAGTACTGTGGTAGTAGTGGTAGTACTTTTAGTAGTAGTAGTAATTGTAGTAGTGGCAGTACAGTACTACTGTAGTAGTTCAGATGCTCTTGCCCAGGATCAGCACACTCATGATGAAGACCATGATGAAGAAGAGCCACATGAGGCCTCGGTCCAGGACGCGGCCGACCCGCCTCCAGTCCGTCATCAGGGCCTGGGCCTCTCTCTGCTCTTGGAACGTGTCGGCGATGGAGCTCACGTCGCCACGGAGACGGTCCAGCGGTGCATACCCACGGATACCAGGACAAAGATGGCGGCCGCAGTGACAGCAGCTCGCGGGGGCTTCCTTCTGTTTGTCTACACAGTCCACGCTCTTTCTGCGACCGGACAAACCCTCCACGCCGCTCGGAACTGAACTGCCGCCATTTTGAAGTCTCTCCTCGCCATGCATCTCTACACCAGACATCTTGTTCTCTGAACTTTGATCCTAAAAATATCATATCACATGTGAGTCTGGTCCACACAGGTCTGTTTCACGCAGGTCTGGTCCACACGGGTCTGATCCACATGGGTCTGGTTCACATGGGTCCTGTCCAAACAAGTCTGGTCCCTATGAGTCAGGTTCAGTTTTGGTCCACATGGGTCTGGTCCAGTCTGGTCACCTCATTTGCTTCTTCTTGCGCTCGCTCTCTGCTCCGTCCTCCATTCTGTAAAATGGCCGACTCCACCGTTAGCAGGACCTCATCAGAATGTTTGGAAGATTCTTCATCTGACAGCGACGTGTTAGCGCCCCCTGCAGCCTGTGGGAGAGGTGAGGTGATTGGTTGATAAGTCAGCACTTTAGAGTCATGGTGACACAGGTCTAAAAACACGACTTTGAAAGAAAAGTGTTTTGGCAGAAGGGGCAGACCTGGTCCTCTGGTTGCGCGCAGGTCTCTCCCAGGTCGTAGACCAGGCAGACCCGGTTCAGGTACTGCAGCACCAAGACTCGGACCCAGCCTGGAACTGGTCTGGCCTCGGGTCCACAGTGATGAAGGTTCATGATGAAGATGGTCAGAGCGGTGGAGGCCGTCACCATCGTCATCGTCGCAATGTAGTATTTACCTAAACCGTTCCAACCGAAATAATATGTCTCATATTCAATGATTAAACGATTATATGCAGTTATGTACAAGTGGGAAAAGCAAAATCCCAGGACTGAAGCTTTAGATCCAGGACTGAGACTGCCCTGGGTCTACAGACTCAGTTTTAGGTCTCGACCTATGTTTTACACCTTCAGTCCTGGATCTACAGCCTCAGTCCTGATCTGCAGTCCTGGATCTGCAGCCTGTCTGTCCATTCGAGAGCAGATCCCTCTTTCAATCTTCACCTCTCTGGGTTTTTGAGTGGTTCTCTGCCGAAACACAGATCTGGGATAACTAAGGACATTTACTAACATTCCTGAACAGTGATCATCCCACTCTCCATGGACCTGTCCTGCGTTCGAACGGTTTGATTATCTAATCTATTTTTGAGGGATCGTCCGACACGGCAGCTGTTGCGATTGAGGCTGATTCATACCGAGGACAGGTCTCACCGATCAGGGGGACACTCTCGGAGGGCGGCATGCTCTCGGCCACCAGCAGCTGGAACACGGTGAGGGCCAGGAGCACCGTGACGCCCAGGGACACCTTCTCCCCGCTCTCGGCCGGCAGGTAGAACCCGAGCGGGGCCAGGAAGGAGATCATCATGCAGGGGAGCAGCAGGTTGAAGATGTAGAAGGAGGCTCTGCGCTTGAGCTGCAGCGTGAAGGTGATGTCCGGGTACGGGTCCGAGCAGCACCCATACAGGATCACGTTCTTCTTCGCAGGCATGCCCAAGACCTGCGGGAAGACCAGGGTTAAACAGGGCTAAAACAGGCCGAAGACCTGGGGGAAGACCAGGACTAAACGGCTAAAACAGGCCCAAGACCTGAAGGAAGTCCAGGGTTAAACAGGTCTAAAACAGACCGAAGACCTGAGGGAAGACCAGGGTTAAACAGGTCTAAAACAGGCCCAAGACCTGAGGGAAGACCAGGGTTAAACAGGTCTAAAACAGGCCCAAGAACTGCGGGAAGACCAGGGTTAAACAGGTCTAAAACAGGCCCAAGACCTGAGGGAAGACCAGGGCTAAACAGGTCTAGAACAGGCAAACAGAACAGTAAAGAATGTTCTCGAATGCGGGGGGACCGTCCCTTCTCGTTTCTCTAGATCAGTGTCTCCCAAAGTGGGGTCCGCGGCCCCCTGGTGGGCCGCGAGGGTACTGCAGGGGGGCCGCGGGAGGTCATAAAAATATATATATATATATATATAATTATTTAATGTTAAATTTATAATGTTTTGTTTGTAATATTAAAATATTTGTGTTCATTATTTGACTTGAATAATCCACTGTAATCATTTTTGTATTACAATGTTTGTAGCAGAGGCTATTTCCCCAAAATAAAATAACCAGAAGAGCCTATTCTTAATGTTGTCTTCTTGGTTATTATTTTGGGGGGGCCACGCAGACCCGTCAGATTTTTAAGGGGGCCTCGGTGTTACTGAGTTTGGGAATGGCTGCTCTAGATAGATACTTTATCGATCCCCGTAGGAGAAATCCATGTGTTGTGTAAAATATGTTGCATAGATCCTTTAGAACAGGATCCAGACTTTTTCACGAGCAAATCAAACACAATCACAACTACTATTCCGTTGTCATTCCTGTGTAGACTGTAGGGGGTGCTCCGGTGTCCCCCACTACAAAAACATGCACAGTAGGTACAGTATGAATGTAGCGAGTGCGTGCATGGATGGTGTTGGTCGGAGGCTTTGATGCACCAGTGAGTTCGGCGTCTCACCGTCATCACCGTGTGGCGAGAATGAAACAATATCTGAACTCTGAACATTGTAAAGCGCCATGGGTGACCTTGGTTTGTAAAAATGCGCTATATAAAAAGAATTACTTGCTATACTTACTTACTCACCTGTAGCCACGCCCCCTCGTCTTTAGCCACGCCCCTCAGCTCTGACTACACCTCTTAACTGTCCAGCTTGATGTAATTTCTAGTGTTTCCCCCCTGACCTTGCCCCTCCCCCTGTGTCCGCACCCTCCCCTTGTCCCAGCCCCCTCCCCCTGTCCCCGCCCCTCACCTGCCACTCCACGTTGGGCACCAGGTCTGCCATTTCAGCAGAGTCCAGCTCGATGTTCAGGTCCATCTGGTTCCCGTTGTGGGTCCAGGAGCCAAAGGTCAGGACGCACTGCTGAAGGTCAAAGGGGAAGAAGGCCACGTCCACGGAGCAGGAGGACTTTGTGATGGACGGCTGGTCCCAGGTCAGCTGACCGTCACTGCGCAGGGCCACGTTCGTCTCTATGGAACTGGAGAACTCATCGTCTGCACTGAGGGGCCAGAGACCAGGGTGAGAAACACTGAGGGGGAGGGGCCGGAGACCAGGGTGAGAAACAATGAGGGGGAGGGGCCAGAGACCAGGGTGAGAAACACTGAGGGGGAGGGGCCAGAGACCAGGGTGAGAAACACTGAGGGGGAGGGGCCGGAGACCAGGGTGAGAAACAATGAGGGGGAGGGGCCGGAGACCAGGGTGAGAAACACTGAGGGGGAGGAGCCGGAGACCAGGGTGAGAAACACTGAGGGGGAGGGCCCGGAGACCAGGGTGAGAAACACTGAAGGGGAGGGCCCGGAGACCAGGGTGAGAAACACTGAGGGGGAGGGGCCAGAGACCAGGGTGAGAAACACTGAGGGGGAGGGGCCAGAGACCAGGGTGAGAAACACTGAGGGGGAGGGCCCGGAGAACAGGGTGAGAAACACTGAGGGGGAGGGGCCGGAGACCAGGGTGAGAAACAATGAGGGGGAGGGGCCGGAGACCAGGGTGAGAAACAATGAGGGAGAGGGGCCGGAGACCAGGGTGAGAAACACCCTCTGCTGGTGAAGCAAGAAATAACATCTGCTTTTATATTAGTACATCCAACATGGAGGTCTGTGTGTGTGTGTGTGTGTGTATTACCTGTTGTACAACACTATGTCTGGTTTCCACACATAGCGACTCGGGAGGCGGATGGACTCTAGACCGTCATAGTCGTCTTTGGACCAAGTCAAGAACGAGTCCATCCAGACCTGACGAACCCAGAGGTACAGGGTCAAGATCTGGTTCCTCTCATCCTGAGGACCAGAAAAAGACCAGTGAGAGAGACCAGAGAGGGACCAGTGAGAGAGAACTGAGAGGGACCATTGAGAGAGACTAGAAAGAGGGACCAGAGAGAGACCAGAGAGAGACCAGAGAGAGACCAGAGAGAGAACTGAATGGAGACAATTGAGGGATTGGAAAGAAACAAGAGAGAGAGCAGAGGAGTCAGAGGTCACTCACCATGTCAATGATCTGGGACAGAGTGACCTGCAGAGTCACGTTGATGGCCTGCTCTGTGTTTTCCACTGGACGCAGAGCACTAGTGTAGTTCACAAACAGGTCTCTGAACAACTGCTGAGCATAGTGCCCCCTGGCAGCCAGACACACTGTAATATACATACACGCTGTAATATATACACACACACACACACACATACATGCACAGTAACACACGTATACACAAATTGTAATATACACACACACACACACACACATGCATACACGTACACACTGTAACACACACTGCAATACCCAAACCCACAACAGTCTTTAAAAGGATTGTATGTGTAAAGGGTTTTGGGCCAAATCTTGATGTAGAAGAATCTGAAGGACACGGCTGTAAAAGGAAGTGTCCTTTAGGTGAGGAGAGAGAGGGGGGGAGTTGTGAGGGGGAGGGAGGGGAGACTGCACCATCAGGACTCTTGACACAAAACAGCTGCTGCTCATCAGCTCCTGGAACACTTTCATCACACACTGTCTCTCTTTCCATCTCCCCTCTCCTCTCTCTCCTGCAGAGAGACCAGCAAGAGGCCAGAGACCAGAGAGAGAACTGAGACAGAGACCAGAGAGAGAACTGAGACAGAGACCAGAGAGAGAACTGAGACAGAGACCAGAGAGAGACCTGAGACAGAGACCAGAGAGAGACCTGAGACAGAGACCAGAGAGAGACCTGAGACAGAGACCAGAGAGAGACCTGAGACAGAGACCAGAGAGAGACCTGAGACAGAGACCAGAGAGAGACCTGAGAGAGCTGAACCAGTGAGAGACCACAGAGAGGCCACAGAGAAACCAGAACGAAAGACCAGCTAGGGAGCAGAGAGACCATGAAAGACCAGAGAAATACCAGAAAGAGAGAAACCAGATAAAAAAGACCAGCGAGAACTCAAAGAACATAGAAAGATCTTAGAGAGTAAATAAAGACCAAAGAGAGACCAGAGATGAATGTCCAAAACCTCCAGGCTCTGTGTCTTCTGCTCTCCCGTGTGGTCGTCCTCGTCTGGTGACATCACACTGTGTCGCTCATGTGTCTTTGTCGCTTTGTTTGAATCTTTCTCAAACACAGAGTCGAGCGGCTGAGTGTCTGGACCTGTGTTTGGACATAAGTCACTAATGCAGCGCCTGGCCTGGGTCTGTGCTCTACGGGGGCTGTGGGCAGTGGTCTGTGCTCTACGGGGGCTGAGGTCCACAGTCACATGTCTGTGTTTGCGACCTCCCTCTGGTGACAACGTAAGGAATTACGTAGAGCTCTGTCTGTAGACGCTGCTCCTTCAGGTGCAAGCCTGGGGAGTTACATAGAGCTCTGTCTGTAGACGCTGCTCCCTCAGGTGCATCCTGTGCAGTTACCTAGAGCTTTGTCTGTAGACGCTGCTCCCTCAGGTGCAAGCCTGGGCAGTTACATAGAGCTCTGTCTGTAGACGCTGCTCCCTCAGATGCAAGCCTGGGCAGTTACATAGAGCTCTGACAGCAGACGCTGATCTCTCTGGAGCCAGCATACAAAGTTATTGGGAGCTCTATGTGCAGACACTGCTCCGTCTGGTCTCAGCATAGGGAGTTTATATCCAAAAGGTTCCTGTTTAAAGGAGACGTGTTCTAATCATCTCTGAGGCGTCGCACCTGGTTAGCAGCTTCATGAGAACCTTATGGAAACATTCATACAAGACAGAGTTTAAAACACTGACCTGAAAAGGAGACGAGTAGCAAAAGCCCCACACATCGCATCATCTGAAGTCCTGGACCGGACCTGGACCAGTCCTGGTTCAGACCTGATTTAGTCCTGCTTTAGAGCTGCTTTAGTCCTACTTTAGAGCTGCTTTAGACCTGCTTTAGTCCTACTTTAGACCTGCTTTAGTCCTGCTTTAGTCCTACTTTAGACCTGCTTTAGTCCTGCTTTAGTCCTACTTTAGAGCTGCTTTAGTCCTACTTTAGAGCTGCTTTAGACCTGCTTTAGTCCTACTTTAGAGCTGCTTTAGTCCTACTTTAGAGCTGCTTTAGACCTGCTTTAGTCCTACTTTAGAGCTGCTTTAGTCCTACTTTAGAGCTGCTTTAGTCCTGCTTTAGTCCTGCTTTAGTCCTACTTTAGAGCTGCTTTAGACCTGCTTTAGTCCTACTTTAGAGCTGCTTTAGTCCTACTTTAGAGCTGCTTTAGCCCTGCTTTAGTCCTGCTTTAGACCTGGTCCTTGTCCTTACTCAGCCCTCCTTTAAAATGCAGTCCTCAGTGGAATGAGGAGGAGTTTTTAGACAGAAGTGAGCACCCCCCTCACCACACACACGCACCTAGGCACAGACACACCACACACACACACCTAGGCACACACACACCACACACACACACCTAGGCACAGACACACACACACACACACACACACCACACACCTAGGCACACACACACCACACACACACACCTAGGCACAGACTCACACACACACACACCTAGGCACAGACTCACACACACACTAAAAGGACAAATACACTAGTGTTTTTAACGATGACTTTATTTGTTGAAAATTAACCCATTCCTTCTATTTCAAAACCGTTATGCTTTAGTCTGAGTCTGATTGTGGCCCTGGCTTAAAGATCATGTACCTGTATTCTGTGTATTTGAGATGTTGTGTCCATAATATTTCAGATCCCATTTGGAGCTGGTCACTTTTTCATAAAAAAAATCTGGGGTACGTAACATTAGCATCATAAATAACACATGTAGATTGTTGAACAAAAAGTCTTATAGTAAAATGTTGTTTACAAATCAGACCACAACATGCATGAATGTTACGTACCTCAGCTTTAATGTTATGGACCTGTAATCCTGCCAATATTATAAGGATGGTGAGATTTAGGTTCCCTCCCTTTAAATGTGCTCATGCTTGTTTGGGATTGGTGACTCGGCCAGTCAGCAGCAGTGCTCCGGTTGATTGGTCGCGGATCACGAAGACAAAAGGTCGGTCGACGTGATAGGTCAGAGCAGAGGGGTGGGCAGGCTTAGGGGCGGGCTGTAGGCCATCAGGGGCGGAGTCTAGCACCACGTTGTGAAGTACAGAGCTCAGCGTGACTGGCTGCTGAGAGATCTGGTCCAAACCCGTGTTCGCCAGCCAATCAGAGAGGCCTGTGACACAAAAGAGCCAATCAGAGAGGTCTGTATCAAAAGAGAGCCAATCAAAGAGGTCTGTGATAGAAGAGAGCCAATCAGAGAGTTCTGGGACACAAGAGCCAATCAGAGAGGTCTGTGACAGAATAGAGCCAATCAGAGAGCAGAACCTGTGTGACCTGACCATGGATCTATAATAATAGGGACCTGACCCAACGTGGAGGAGAAGCAGCTGTCGCTTTGAATCCGCTGATGCCTGTCCTACTGTATTCCCTGAGTGTTTCAATCAAGGTACCTTCACCGTGACTCAGGAGGATGTCAGGCGTGTCTTGTCCAGGACCACAGTCCGGAAAGCCCCAGGCCCGGGCGGCATCCCTCCTCGTGTCCTGAAACTGTGCTCTGAGCAACTTGCCCCTGTGCTAACAGACATTTTCAACCTGTCGCTAAGGAACTGTACTGTGCCGAACTGCTTTAAAGAGTCGACCATCATTCCAGTTCCTAAGAAAACTCCTGTGACATGCCTGAATGACTATCGTCCTGTGGCCCTCACGTCTGTTCTTATGAAGACTTTTGAGCAGCTTGTGCTGGACTTCATTAAGAGCCAGATCCTTGTGAGTGTTGACCCACTCCAGTTTGCTACAGACAGAACAGGAGTGTGGAGGATGCCATCTCCTTTGCTCTGAACTCTGTCTACAGTCACTAGGACACTAGTAAATCTGTCGCGAGAATGCTTTTCATAAATTATAGCTCTGCTTTTAACTGCCTTGTCCCAGGTAAACTGATTGAAAAGCTCATGTCTCTCGGTTTAAGTGTTGCCATGTGTAAATGGATTTTTAGCTTTTTAACTGACAGATCTCAGAGAGTGAAAATCAATGACTGTTTTTCTGATGTTGTTTCTGTGAGCACTGGTTCTCCTCAGGGATGTATTTTGAGTCCTTTGCTTTTTACTTTGTACACTCATGACTGTATGTCCTCCTCTGACTCAAACTTGATCATCAAATATGCTGATGACACCACCATCATCGGTCTCATCAGTGTCAATGATGAATCCTCTTATAGAGCAGAGATACAAATGTGGTTCAGTGGAGTCAAACTAACAACCTCCAGTTGAACGCATCCAAAACATGTGAACTGGTCTACGACTTCAGTCGCAATAGTTCTCATTTGCCTGTCGTAATCGACAACTCCCAGGTACAGATCGTAGAGGAGTGCAAGTTTCTGGGTTTAACTCTGTCTAACCTGAAATGGGTTAAAAACACTGACCGAGTCGTTAAGAAAGCTCGTCAGCGTCTCTACTTTCTGCGTAAACTTAGAGAATTTACCACTAACTCTAAGATTCTGCTTAACTTTTATGGCTGCACCATTGAGAGTTTACTTGTTGGTTCTGTGTCTGTGTGGTTTGGAAACATCACAGATAAAGAAAAGAGATCTTTAAACAAGGTGCTCCGCTCTGCAAAGAGGACCGTGGGCTGTGAGCTTCCTGTTCTGGAGGTTCTTTATAAATCCAGACTTTTGAACAAAGCTCTTAGGATTGTTAATGACTCTTCTGGCCACCCTGGGAAAGCCATGTTCCAGCTTCTTCCCTCTGGCAGAAGATATCGCTCTCTGAGATGCAGGACATCTCGTTACGCTAACAGTTTTTATCCACAAGCTGTTATCAGTGTGAACAGAGCACTTTAATGATTTGCACTTGTTTTGAAACTGTTTTAATCGATCGATTTCACAGTGACTTTTGTTTACTGTTTTATTTGTTTTATTTTTGTCTTTTAATGTTGTTTTATGTCTGTATTTGTCTGTGCACACTGGAGACTTTTCGCTAATGTATTCCAATGTGGTTTTTTTACTGCAAATGGCAAATAATCTGAATCTGAATCTGAATCTGAAGGAGAATATACCATATTCAGGACTAAGCCAGGACAGGACCAGTCCTGGTTCAGTTCTGGTTCAGTTCTGATAGGACCTGGTCTGGTCCTCACTCAGTCCTGGTTACAGACCTAGCTCTGGCAGCAGTGGTAGCAGATCTGTGGAGAAGACGAGCTTGAGACTGGGCATGCTCAGATGGGCGTTAGCCGTTAGCAGCGTGTTAGCAAGGTCCTGCACGAACTCGGCGGTCAGAGCGTCCTCAATGGCCGAAAGGTTAAAGGTCACAGCGTCCGGCAAAAAGACAAAGAGACTGACGCCGTCCACCAGGGGGAGCTCTGCAATCTGAGGACAACAACCACAACAACAGGTAAACAACAACTTGTGTGTGTGCGTGTGTGTGTGTGCATGCATGCGTGCGTGTGTGTCCTGGTCCAGTTGAGGTTCAGACCTGTCCCAGTCCTGGCCCAGTCACTGACCGTGCAGCTCAGGTCTGAATCGATGCCAATCTTCAGGGGGAAATCATCTTGTTGCATCATAGGAACTTGAACTGGAGAAGAACCTTCGATCTGAAACTGACCCGAGACAGACCTGCTGAAGCGGGTCGCCCACCGCCCTGAGACCAGAGAGACCGGATTAGAGCCCACCCTGAGACAAGAGAAAGAGACCACAGGAAGACCAAAGAGCAATTGGTCTTGAGACCAGAGTAAGACCAGAGAGAGATCAGAGCGAGACCAGAAACAGACCAGAGAGAGAGCAGAGAGACCAAAGAGCGATCTTTCAGAGAGAGACCAGTGAGAAACCACAGTGAGATCAGAGAGACCAGAGACCGTTGAAGTATGCTGCGGTGATGGCGGTCACTCCCTGGTTTCGGGGCAGAGGTTTGGTCAGGATCTTGGCCACTTTCCCTGCCGTCTTCTGCGACACCCAGTCGTTGATTTCCTTCTGGTCCCTGGCTCCTCCCTGAAGAGCTTTGGGTCTGATACCATAGGTCTGTTCCACCAGGGAGAAGTACTCCTGCTTCAGACGGAGACCTGTGGAGGGTGGTAGTAGCAAGAATAACTTAGTAAGAAGGTCAGAGTTAATTTAGCGCATTATACAGACCATGGTCACACAAAGCACTTTAACATTCTTGTTGTACCATTCTCTCCATGTGGTGATGACACATTCTTTACATTCAGACTGTCTGTTGTATTAGTCTAGTATTGAGTGGCAGGGGAAACCTACACAGACACGGGGAGAACACGCAAACTCCATACAGAAAGTGTAGATGGAATTGATGCCACCGTGGCGCCCACTACCACTGTTTTGGGGTTTGTTTTTCATCCCCGCCTTCACTATTAGACGTACTTGAAAACTCTGCAGGCATAATATAATCGGCAATGAAGTCTATTGCTCTCACACCCATATTAGCTCGGTCCAGAGTCCTGTCCAACATTCAAAACTACTCCCCATACGTTCGTCCAAAGCCACCTAGGGTATCCAATCTTCCTGATTCCATTCCACACCCACTTCCCCCTCGTTCAACACTCAAAACCTCCGCCTCAGCCCACCCCTCCCCTAACCCATCACCAAAAACCCCTCCATCTCCCCGTCCCCCTCGTCCAACTCCCAAGAACCACCCACCTCTCCATCCTCCTCCCCCGCTTTCCCCTTCCCCTCTTATCTCTAAACACTAGGATGCACAAAGTCTTTGCTTCGCAGCCACTGGCAGTCTAGTTAGAGGAGAGACCCGGCTGGAGCCCTGTCATGAAGCCACCTGTGCCATTCCCTTAGTGATAACACAAAGAATACATAACAAAAAGACATCTGGAGTTTATCAGTCTAATCAAGAACATCTAATTCTTGTTCCGTGTAAGAATCAGCCGACCACAACCGTTGATCCTGAAACTTGCCATGTTTAATGTCAGATCTCTCTGTAACAAGTCTTTTTTAATCAATTATTTTATTTGTTCTTATAATCTTGATCTTATATTCATGGGTGAAACATGGCTTGACCAAAATACAGGAAATGCAGTTTTAATAGAAGCATCACCACCAAACTTCAAAATTGAATCTGAAACACGTGAAAACAGAAAGGAGGAGGCTTAGCTGCCATTTTTAGAGACTACTTTGTCTCCCATAGAATGTCTCTTGGGAAGTTTCCGTCTTTTGAATATGTGTCTTTTAAAATACAACAAAAACAATCTCCTCCAATACTTTTCGTTGTCCTATACAAGCCACCACAGTCATGTCACAGTTTTATTGATAATTTTACCGAGTTGCTTTCAGTTGTATGCACAGATTTTGATAATTTAGTTATTACAGGGGATTTTAATATTCATGTGGATAATGTTGATGACAGAAATGCAAAAGAGCTGAGTTCTTTACTTCATACCTTTGGTCTCACTCAGCACGTCAGTGGCCCCACCCACAGCAGAGGGCACACTCTAGATCTGTTAGTCACTAAGGGGGTGAATATTTCAAATGTAAACATGGTCGATGTTGCTCTTTCGGATAATTTCTGTGTATTTTTTGACATGTGTTTCACTAACAAACCACCAGTGGACTCTGCAACTGTACAAAGAAGACGCATACATTAAAATACGAGTGTAAAAATACGAGTGAACTAATAAACTTTGAGAATGCTTGTGTTCTACTGTAGATGAACTGTTTAACTCTGTCACCTCTAGTGTTTTGAATGTTCTGGACACCATCGCTCCTGTGAATGTTGAAATAGTGAAAAATAAGCATAAGACGCCATGGGCTAAAGCAGACTCGGTCAGGGCACAAAAGAGAGAGTGCCGGAGGGCCGAGCGGAAGTGGCGCAAGTCCAACCTCCAGGTTGATTTCGAGATCTTCAAAGATAAGTTGTGTGAGTATAACCGGGTGCTACGTAGTACGAGAGAAAGGTATTTTTCTGAAATGATTGAAGGCTGCAGCAACAATCTGCGTGTTCTGTTTTCAACAGCCATTATAACTAACTTCTAAACGTAAATGTAATGAGTTTGCAAATTTCTTCCATGACAAGGTTCAAGGCATCCAAAACGCCATTGTCTCCAATCCACAGATAACATTCCAACAACCAGAAAGGCTCTCTGAGCTAACTCACTTTGCACCTGTAAATGATCAAACTGTCCAAGAGATAATCTCCAGTTTGAGCTCCTCCACATGCAGCCTGGATGTACTACCCACTAGATTTCTGAAGTCTGTTCTGAGCAGTCTGTTACCTTCACTCACACAGATAGTAAACATGTCCCTTCATTCTGGAATATTCCCAAAGGCCCTGAAAACTGCAGTCATCAGGCCCCTGCTAAAAAAGAGCAGTCTGGATGCTACGGTACTTAACAACTATCGTCCCATCTTAAATCTGCCATTTATGGGAAAAGTCCTTGAGAAAGTTGTCTACCTACAGCTTACTAGATTTCTTATAATCAACAACTCATTTGATATGTTTCAGTCCGGCTTTAGACCCCACCACAGCACTGAGACTGCTCTCGTTAAGGTTACAAACAATATCCGGCTGAACACTGACGCAGGCAAAGTCTCAATCCTAATCCTGTTAGATCTGAGTGCTGCCTTTGACACTGTCGACCATGAGATCCTCTTACAGAGACTAGAGGACTGGGTTGGTGTCACTGGCACCGCCCTAAGTTGGTTTAGGTCTTACCTTGAAGACAGGAAGTACTTTGTGGAGATTGGAAACTGTGTCTCAGATCATATGGCTCTGCTGCAGTTTCTTGCAGCACTTTCTCTCACTCTGATCATTGGTCTCTCTCTCACTCCTCTAGCCCTCCGCGCTCTCGTCGTTGCCTGCTACGCGGAGTTGCTATGCGTTCCCCGCTCTGCTGCGATTCATCACGGGTAACGTTGTGAGGAAGCCAGTATTCTTGGGTTTCATATGACGTCGGGGCAGTGGCGCGAATGACAAACGTGGGACAGGACTGGACCGGACGTGACGTACCCTGACAGTGTCTCTCGTCGCGTTTCAAAATAGAAAACAGATGTTACTCAGTTTTCAATGGAAAAATAATTCCAGCGTTTATTTACAGTGATGTCTGCCGTCCACGACACATAATGTGAACTAATTCACATTTGAGTTCTTTATTTAAAAATGTGTTGCATTCAGTTCAACGTTCACAAAAAAATGAGTGTGTTCAATGAACGCCTTTTGCCAATTCCCATTTCTAACATTTTACTGTCTCAGCCTCCTCATGCGACATGTACATCTCTCTATTGTGATCAATAAAGTTTATATTATCTTTGCTGTAGCAGCAGCAATAGCAGCAGCAGTAGCAGCAGCAGTAGCAGCAGCAGTAGCAGCAGCAGTAGCAGTAGCAGCAGCAGTAGCAGTAGCAGTAGCGGTAGCAGCAGCAGCAGCAGTAGCAGTAGCAGTAGCAGTAGCAGTAGCAGTAGCAGCAGCAGTAGCAGCAGCAGTAGCAGTAGCAGTAGCAGTAGCAGCAGCAGTAGCAGCAGCAGTAGCGGTAGCAATAGCAGTAGCAATAGCAGTAGCGGTAGCAATAGCAGTAGCAATAGCAGTAGCGGTAGCAATAGCAGTAGCAATAGCAGCAGCAGTAGCAGTAGCAATAGCAATAGCAGGCGGCACGGTGGCTGAGTGGATAGCACTCTCGCCTCTCAGCAAGAAGGTCCTGGGTTCGAATCCCGGTCGGACCAGGGCCTTTCTGAGTGGAGTTTGCATGTTCTCCCCGTGTCTGCGTAGGTTTCCTCCGGGTACTCCGGTTTCCCCTACCGCTAAAAATATGTAAAATAGTTCTGGCATGTGCCTCCTATACTGGCGACCCCGCTCCCATCTCTGTGTGGAGTGAGAGACAAATGCCCAAAAAAAAAAAAAAAATAAATAAAAAAACAAATAACAATTGTAAACCGCTTTGAGACTCAGCTCTGCAGTGAAAAGGCAGTATATAAATAATTACTTACTTACTACTACTTACTTACAGTAGCAGTAGCAGTAGCAGCAGCAGTAGCGGTAGCAGCAGCAGTAGCAGCAGCAGTAGCGGTAGCAATAGCAGTAGCAATAGCAGTAGCGGTAGCAATAGCAGTAGCAATAGCAGCAGCAGTAGCAGTAGCAATAGCAGTAGCAGTAGCGGTAGCAATAGCAGCAGCAGTAGCAGTAGCAGTGGTAGCAGCAGCAGTAGCAGTAGCAGCAGCAGTAGCAGTAGTAGTAGCAGCAGCAATAGCAGTAGCAGCAGCAGTAGCAGTAGCAGTAGTAGTAGCAGCAGCAGTAGCAGTAGCAGTGGCAGTAGCAGTAGTAGTAGTACTCACGTCTGCTTAAGTACAGTCTGGCTGCAGTACTCAGGCCTTTCCCGGTGGAGGCGCTGGAGATCAGGGAGCTCAGGGTGGTGTGGAGAGCCGGGTCCTGCCACGTGTGGTACCGCAGCATACGAGTCAGATCCCTCTGAGAGTAAGGCGAGCCGCCTGTCGTCATGGAAACAGAGGTGTGAGAGTTTGGGGGATGGAGACTTATGAGAGATATTATATTATAATCGTTGACCATCAGTGCGCCACAGATTAGAAACGCCCGTGACCCTCAGTAATGACATCATTGCGTACCCATGGACAGCTGCGTCAGGGCGCTCGTGACGCTGAGTGATGACATCAGCACGTTCCCGCTCTCACGCCGACACGCCGACCTGAACAGGTTGAAGCCAAAGTCTGCAGCGGCGGCAGCCATCTTGGTGGTGGGTGTGGTGAACAGCTCCACTGGCTCCTCCTCCTCTGGGGGCGTGGCCTCAGGGTCAGACTGTGGGGGGATCAGAATTTTATAACGGCATCTTATGTGAACTGGACTGGACCAGACCCATGTGGACCAGAGCAAACCAGACCAAACCCATGTGGACCAGACTCATGTGTCTGAATATAAAGCCACAGTCTGTAACGAGACAGATCAGTTCAATGACAGCAAAGCAGGGAATGGCTTGGTTAGGTCTGTGATGGGAGACCTCACACTGAGAGCCACAGTGTTTATGTAGTCCATCTTTCCTCCAGCAGAGGGCGCCCCTGCCTTTGTCACATACAGACTTTCTCTTATTGATCTTTTTGTGTCAGGACGTTTAAACTACACTGAAAGCAGCATTTGCACTCAGGAAGGGTCAGGGGCAGGGGTCATAGAGTTCCATGCGCCAGCATGGAGCAAATAAGTGCTTTTTTTTTGTCAGATAAAAAAGTAAAAAGGTACCTGAGCCAGAGCTGATCCCAGCAGCAAAGCAGAGAGCAGCAGAAAGGAAAGCCCCATCCTGGAACAGACCGGGTTAAAAACAGGGTTTAGACCAAATTAATCCAGCTCCAGTCTTGCTTTAGTCCTGCTTTGGACCTGCTTTAGACTTGCTTTAGTTCAGGTGAGTGTTCTCGGACCTGTTTTAGGTGCAGCGTTGCTCCTCCAGTCTCTCAGTCTCAGTCTGGTGTCAGTCTGATCTCAGTCTGGTGTCAGTCTGGTCTCAGTCTGATCTCAGTCTGGTCTCAGTCTGGGTCTGGTCAGAACATCTGGAAGACGTTTACCTCTGACTGAAGCACACAGAGGAGGGTGGGGTTTAAGAGCTGTTCTTTTCCAAACTGCTTTGAGATCTGTATGATTTGAGTCTGTTCAGTTTTAACTCTTCATACTGAGAGACCTAAGCAGCACATGCCCACAGTGACACTGGTCTGGTCCTGTTCTAGGTTTTGGTCTGGTCTTTGTCTGGGTATGGTCATGGTCCTGGTCTGGTCAGGAAACTGGTTTGTTCCCAGATTGTTCTCTGTGTTTACAACCTCAAACTGTTCCACTGGTCCATCCTGGGTCCAGAACAATTCCAGAGCTGGTCCAGACCCGGTTGAGACTTGGTCCTGACCTAAATTTTGCTCTGGACTCAATTGAACCATTTTATTGTGAAATTCCTGTGGCCCAGTCTGGCCTCTTACTGTGAAATTTCACATATGACTCATAGCCAGTGCTGGACCTGGTTCAGTCTTAGACCTGGTTCATTCCTGGACTTGGTTCAGTCCTGGACCTGGTTCAGTCCTGGACCTGGTTCAGTCTTGGACCTGGTTCATTCCTGGACTTGGTTCAGTCCTGGACCTGGTTCAGTCTTGGACCTGGTTCATTCCTGGACCTGGTTCAGTCCTGGACCTGGTTCAGTCCTGGACCTGGTTCAGTCCTGGACCTGGTTCAATCCTGGACCTGGTTCAGTCTTGGACCTGGTTCATTCCTGGACCTGGTTCAGTCCTGGACCTGGTTCAGTCCTGGACCTGGTTCAGTCCTGGACCTGGTTCAGTCCTGGACCTGGTTCAGTCCTGGACCTAGTCCTGGGACATTCCTATTTAACAAAGTTGGAAAATCAAGTGCAGTAGTGAGCAGCTCCACAAGAGGGCAGACCAGAGCAAAGAGAGTGTGTGTGTGTGTGTGTGTGTATATATATATATGTGCGTGTGTATGTGTGTGTCTATCCGTGTGTGTATGTGTGTGTGTGTGTCTATCCGTGTGTGTTTGTGTCTATCAGTGTGCGTGTGTGTGTGAGTATGTGTGCACATGTGTGCGTTTGTACATGTATGTGCGTGTGTGTCTGTCTGTGCATCTCCTTATTGCAGTGCACCTGGTGCACAGTTAGAGGCGCTGTCACACTGTGTTTGACTTACACATGTTTACAGACCTGAGCTTTAGACCTGCTTTAGACCTGCTTTAGTCCTGCTTTAGTCCTGCTTTAGACCTGCTTTAGTCCTGCTTTAGTCCTGCTTTAGACCTGCTTTAGTCCTGCTTTAGACCTGCTTTAGTCCTGCTTTAGACCTGCTTTAGACCTGCTTTAGACCTGCTTTAGTCCTGCTTTAGTCCTGCTTTAGTCCTGCTTTAGACCTGCGTTAGACCTGCTTTAGACCTGCTTTAGAGCTGCTTTAGTCCTGCTTTAGTCCTGCTTTAGACCTGCTTTAGTCCTGCTTTAGACCTGCTTTAGACCTGCTTTAGACCTGCTTTAGACCTGCTTTAGACCTGCTTTAGTCCTGCTTTAGACCTGCTTTAGTCCTGCTTTAGTTCTGCTTTAGACCTCCTTTAGACCTGCTTTAGACCTGCTTTAGACCTGCTTTAGACCTGCTTTAGTCCTGCTTTAGTCCTGCTTTAGACCTGCTTTAGACCTGCTTTAGACCTGCTTTAGACCAGCTTTAGACCTGCTTTAGTCCAGCTTTAGTCCTGCTTTAGACCTGCTTAAGTTCTGCTTTAGTCCTGCTTTGGTCTTGCTTTAGTCCTGCTTTAGACCAGCTTTAAACCTGCTTTAGACCTGATTTAGTCCTGCTTTAGTCCTGCTTTAGTTCTGCTTTAGACCTGCTTTAGTCCTGCTTTAGACCTGCTTTAGACCTGCTTTAGACCTGCTTTAGTCCTGCTTTAGTCCTGCTTTAGACCTGCTTTAGACCTGCTTTAGTCCTGTTTTAGACCTGCTTTAGTCCTGCTTTAGACCTGCTTTAGACCTGCTTTAGACCTGCTTTAGACCTGCTTTAGACCTGCTTTAGACCTGCTTTAGTCCTGCTTTAGTCCTGCTTTAGTCCTGCTTTAGACCTGCTTTAGTCCTGCTTTAGACCTGCTTTAGACCTGCTTTAGTCCTGCTTTAGACCTGCTTTAGTCCTGCTTTAGTCCTGTTTTAGACCTGCTTTAGTCCTGCTTTAGACCTGCTTTAGACCTGCTTTAGACCAGCTTTAGACCAGCTTTAGACCTGCTTTAGTCCAGCTTTAGTCCTGCTTTAGACCTGCTTTAGTTCTGCTTTAGTCCTGCTTTGGTCTTGCTTTAGTCCTGCTTTAGACCAGCTTTAAACCTGCTTTAGACCTGATTTAGTCCTGCTTTAGTCCTGCTTTAGACCTGCTTTAGACCTGCTTTAGCCCTGTCTTAGTCCTGCGTTAGACCTGCTTTAGTCCTGCTTTAGACCTGCTTTAGTTCTGCTTTAGACCTGCTTTAGTCCTGCTTTAGACCTGCTTTAGTCCTGCTTTAGACCTGCTTTAGACCTGCTTTAGACCTGCTTTCGAGCTGCTCTAGTCCTGCTTTAGACCGGCTTTAGACCTGCTCTAGTCCTGCTTTAGGCCGGCTTTAGACCTGCTTTAGTCTTGCTTTAGACCAGCTTTAGACCTGCTTTAGTCCTGCTTTAGACCAGCTTTAGACCTGCGTTAGACCTGCGTTAGACCTGCTTTAGACCTGCTTTAGACCTGCGTTAGACCTGCTTTAGACCTACTTTAGACCTGCTTTAGACCTGCTTTAGTCCTGCGTTAGACCTGCTTTAGTCCTGCTTTAGACCTGCTTTAGACCTGCTTTAGTGCTGCTTTAGACCTGCTTTAGACCTGCTTTAGTGCTGCTTTAGCCCTGCTTTAGACCTGATTAAGTCTTGCTTTAGTCCTGTCTTAGTCCTGCTTCAGACCTGCGTTAGTCCTGCTTTAAACCTGCCTTAGTCCTGCTTTAGACCTGCTGTAGTCCTGTCTTAGTCCTGCTTTAGACCTGCATTAGTCCTGCTTTAGACCTGCTTTAGACCTGCTGTAGTCCTGCCTTAGTCCTGCGTTAGACCTGCGTTAGACCTGCTTTAGACCTGGTTTAGACCTTCTTTAGTCCTGCTTCAGACCTGCGTTAGTCCTGCTTTAGACCTGCGTTAGTCCTGCTTTAGACCTGCCTTAGACCTGCTTTAGACCTGCCTTAGTCCTGCTTTAGACCTGCGTTAGACCTGCTTTAGACCTGATTAAGTCTTGCTTTAGTCTTGCTTTAGACCTGCTTTAGTCCTGCTTTAGACCTGCTTTAGTCCTGCTTTAGTCTTGATTTGGACCTGCTTTAGACCTGCTTTACGCTTTAGTCCAGCCCTAGACCAGTTTTAGTCCTGCTTTAGTCTTGATTTGGACCTGCTTTAGATAACGTTTAGTCCTGCTTTAAAAAGACCGGACTAAAGCAGGTTCAAAGCAGGTCTAAAGTCCTTCTTTAGTCTGGCTTTGAACCTGCTTTTGTCCCTCTTTGGACCTGATTTAGATCTGTTTCAGACTGAGACAGCAGGGGAGCTGTTATATTTACATAAGAACTGCATCAGGACCTCCCTTTGAACCAGAGACCAAACCACAAGTGAGAGTCCAAACCAGAGCCTTTCAGACCCAGACTGAACCAGGATTGAACCAGGTCTGAAGCAGGACTGAAGCCGGTCTGAAGCCGGACTGTGAGAACTTGGGGACAGATCCAGTCTCTGCTGCTGTTGTTGATCTGTCTTGAGTTTTTACAACACATTATTTTGAACAATATCAGTTCAGTGTTAGTTTTAGAGACCTGGTCCAGACCAGGTTGAGTCCAGACTTAGACTCTTTAGATCCGGCCCCAGGATGTCTGTGCTTCCGGTCCGAATCCTCCACCGGGTCTGGATCTTGAAGAAGACTGTCATCCTCATCTTCACGCCGTTACTGCTGCTGCCGCTGGCAACAAGCACCAGGGTAAGACCGATCTGCTTTACACCTGCTTTGGACTTGTTTTAGTCCTGCTTTAGACCGGCTTCACTCTTTCTTTAGACCTGCTTTAGTCGTCTTTAGACCTGCTTTAGTTCTGCTTTAGACCTGCTTCAGTCCTTCTTTAGACCTGCTTCAGTCCTTCTTTAGACCTGCTTCAGTCCTTCTTTAGACCTGCTTCAGTCCTTCTTTAGACCGGCTTCAGTCCTTCTTTAGACCGGTTTCAGTCCTTCTTTAGACCTGCTTCAGTCCTTCTTTAGACCGGCTTCAGTCCTTCTTTAGACCGGCTTTAGTCCTAAAGCAGGATTAAAGCAGGACTACAGCAGTCCTGTTTTAGTCCTGCTCCAGACCTGTAAGTTTGAAAACAAAATATGTAGAGAAAAAAAGTGTGTGTGTGTGTGTGTGTGCATGTGTGTGCGTTAGGTGTGTATGTGTGTCTGTGTGTGTGCGTGTGAGTTTAGGTGTGTATGTGTGTCTGTGTGTATGTGTGTTGTGTCTGTGTGTGTGTGCGTGTGGGTTTAGGTGTGTATGTGTGTCTGTGTGTGTGTTGTGCATGTGTGTGTGCGTGTGAGTTTAGGTGTATGTGTGTCTGTGTGTGTGTTGTGCATGTGTGTGTGTGTGTGTGCGTGTGAGTTTAGGTGTGTATGTGTGTGTCTGTGTGTGTGCGTGTGAGTTTAGGTGTGTATGTGTGTGTCTGTGTGTGTGCGTGTGAGTTTAAGTGTGTATGTGTGTGTGTGTGTGCGTGTGAGTGTAGGCGTGTATGTGTGTGTCTGTGTGTGTGCGTGTGAGTTTAGGTGTGTACGTGTGTGTGTGTGTGTGTGCGCTCCTTCTTACAGTATTTGTCTACACGAGAATGTCACAGAGGAACCTGTTGCCCACTGACATGTGACCTCCACAAACCTGGAAACAGAAGAGTCCATTGAATTCTAATGTCGTCTTCTTTCCTTAAAGAGCAGCGTTACAGCCTGCTGTTCCAGATGCTGCCAATGCTGAGGATTTAGACAAATGCCTTTTTTTTACATATTTCTGTGGGAGGGGCCACTCGCGGTTATTTTGAAAAACACAGCTGAAGGGAAAAGTGATGACACATGACGTTTCCATGACGGAGAAAGGCGTCACTACGTCAGTTAATATTTACAGTCTATGAGTTGGACGGATGTGAGACCAGTGCAGCATCAGCAGTGGACCGAGCATGGACCTCTGGGGGACCCCTCTGCCCAAACGCCCTGTTCTCAAACTCAGAAGTCTGAAGCTGTCACATCGTCCCCAGATGTCACATGGTCCTCAGATGTCACATGGTCCTCAGATGTCACATGGTCCTCACGTGTCACATGGTCCTCACATGTCACATGATCCTCAACCACTTGGTCTTCAGTCACTTTGTCCAAACCGGTCGGAAATATCATTTTTTGTGTTTTAGCGGGAAAAAGAGACAGTATCGATTCACCGGAGATTGTGGACCCATGTGGAGACATCAGGGTCATGGTTTTTGTCACTAATAGACAACTCAATTCAATGGTCTCTCTTTCTGTTCTATCTCTGGTCTATCTCCGGTCTCTCTCTGGTCTATCTCCGGTCTCTCTCTGGTCTCTCTCGCTGGTCTCTCTCGCTGGTCTCTCTCGCTGGTCTCTCGTTGATCTATCTTGTCACGCAGTAGCAGACGACATCATATACCCCTGCTCATACATCGTGACAGTTACCTTTATTAAAGTCAGGTTTGTGGCTTGTGTGCTCCGCAATGATAAGTTCAAACAGACCGCGTGTGTGTGTTATTGTTACAGTGTTGTGTGTGTAGTTCTCACGGTGTTGTGTTGCAGGCGGCCGCGTGTGGGTACGTGATTACGCTCATGGCTGTGTTCTGGTGTCTGGAGATCCTGCCGCTTGCCGTCACTGCTCTGCTGCCCACAATCCTGTTCCCTCTGCTGGGGGTGATGGAGAGCCGAGACGTGAGTGCTTCAAGTACTACAAGTACATCAAATACTATAAGTATTTAAAATGCTAAATAAAATACTAAAAATAATTAAAGTGCTTCAAATATTACAAGTGCTTCAAGTACTACAAGTACTTTAAGTGCTAGAAATACTTAAATGCTACAAGTTCTTCAAGTATGGCGTGTGGGGCCAAGGGTGAAGGCGCGGTGCAAGAGCGCTGGTGTGTAGTATCTGGTGCACACTGGGGTGCACAGTTATTCCAATGTGGTATACTGCAAATGTTAATTATATAAACGGAATCTGAATCTGATCTGAATCTGAAATACTAAAAGTACTACAAGGACTTTAAATACAAGTTCTATAAATACTACAAGCACTCCTCTGGTTCGAACCACAGACTGTTCAAAGACATTCCTGGTTCAGTCCTGGTCTCAGGTCCAGACCTTAGTTCTGGCCCTGGTCCTGACTGTTGTTCTCCCTCAGGTCTGCGCTCAGTACCTGAAGGACATTAACTTCCTGTTTGTGGGGGGTCTTCTGGTGGCAGTGGCGGTGGAACAGTGGGACGTCCACAAACGCATCGCCCTGAGAGTCCTGCTGATGGTGGGGGTCCGGCCTGCGCTGTGAGGACTTTGTTAAGCTAACGCTGTTAACATGATACTAAATGTTGATAACATGATGCTAATCTGTTGATAACATTATGCTAACATAACGTTTCTAACGTTTGGCTAACATATTGCTGAAGTAATGGTAACATGTACAAACATGATGCAAACATGTTGCTAACATGATGCTAAATTGTTACTAACATGTAACTATCATGACGCTAACATAGTAACGTTGGTAACGTAATGCTGAATACAAATAATATGATACTAACATGTTGCATATATTTTGCTAACATTTTGGCAACATGATGCTAACATGTTTGCTAACGTGTTCCAGGCTGATGCTTGGCTTCATGTCCGTGACTGCCTTTCTCTCCATGTGGATAAGTAACACAGCCACCACTGCCATGATGGTCCCTATAGTTCAGGCTGTCCTGGAACAGATCCACGGACCCAGAGAAGACCTGGACCAGACTGAGACGAAAACCAGAACAGAGACAGACCCCGGATCTAAGACCAACTCGGAATCAGAGGAGATTGATCAACTGATAGACCAGAAGATCCACTGTGCCCGTCAGGCCAGCTCTGAGAACGGTAAAGAAACCACACAGGTGTAATGTGAGGTCTGTAACACAGGTGTAATGTGAGGTCTGTAACACAGGTGTAATGTGAGGTCTGTAACACAGGTGTAATGTGAGGTCTGTAACACAGGTGTAATGTGAGGTCAGTAACACAGGTGTAATGTGAGGTCTGTAACACAGGTGTAATGTGAGGTCTGTAACACAGGTGTAATGTAAGGTCTGTAACACAGATGTAATGTGAGGTCTGTAACACAGGTGTAATGTGAGGTCTGTAACACAGGTGTAATGTGAGGTCTGTAACACAGGTGTAATGTAAGGTCTGTAACACAGATGTAATGTGAGGTCTGTAACACAGGTGTAATGTGAGGTCTGTAACACAGGTGTAATGTGAGGTCAGTAACACAGGTGTAATGTGAGGTCAGTAACACAGGTGTAATGTGAGGTCTGTAACACAGGTGTAATGTGAGGTCAGTAACACAGGTGTAATGTAAGGTCTGTAACACAGGTGTAATGTGAGGTCTGTAACACAGGTGTAATGTGAGGCCTTTAACACAGGTGTAATGTGAGGTCAGTAACACAGGTGTAATGTGAGGTCTTTAACACAGGTGTAATGTAAGGTCTTTAACACAGGTGTAATGTGAGGTCAGTAACACAGGTGTAATGTGAGGTCTTTAACACAGGTGTAATGTGAGGTCTGTGACGGAGGTGTAATGTGAGGTCAGTAACACAGGTGTAATGTGAGGTCTGTAACACAGGTGTAATGTGAGGTCTGTAACACAGGTGTAATGTGAGGTCTGTAACACAGGTGTAATGTAAGGTCTGTAACACAGATGTAATGTGAGGTCTGTAACACAGGTGTAATGTGAGGTCTGTAACACAGGTGTAATGTGAGGTCTTTAACACAGGTGTAATGTGAGGTCAGTAACACAGGTGTAATGTGAGGTCTTTAACACAGGTGTAATGTAAGGTCTTTAACACAGGTGTAATGTGAGGTCAGTAACACAGGTGTAATGTGAGGTCTGTAACACAGGTGTAATGTAAGGTCTTTAACACAGGTGTAATGTGAGGTCAGTAACACAGGTGTAATGTGAGGTCTTTAACACAGGTGTAATGTGAGGTCTGTGACGGAGGTGTAATGTGAGGTCAGTAACACAGGTGTAATGTGAGGTCTGTAACACAGGTGTAATGTGAGGTCTGTAACACAGGTGTAATGTGAGGTCTGTAACACAGGTGTAATGTAAGGTCTGTAACACAGATGTAATGTGAGGTCTGTAACACAGGTGTAATGTGAGGTCTGTAACACAGGTGTAATGTGAGGTCAGTAACACAGGTGTAATGTGAGGTCAGTAACACAGGTGTAATGTGAGGTCTGTAACACAGGTGTAATGTGAGGTCTGTAACACAGGTGTAATGTGAGGCCTTTAACACAGGTGTAATGTAAGGTCTTTAACACAGGTGTAATGTGAGGTCAGTAACACAGGTGTAATGTGAGGTCTTTAACACAGGTGTAATGTAAGGTCTTTAACACAGGTGTAATGTGAGGTCAGTAACACAGGTGTAATGTGAGGTCTTTAACACAGGTGTAATGTGAGGTCTGTGACAGAGGTGTAATGTGAGGTCAGTAACACAGGTGTAATGTGAGGTCTGTAACACAGGTGTAATGTGAGGTCTGTAACACAGGTGTAATGTGAGGTCTGTAACACAGGTGTAATGTGAGGTCTGTAACACAGGTGTAATGTGTCCTTTTTGCTTATTCAGGAACGCTTTTCGAGAAGATCCAGACTCCAGACTTAGCCACGCCCCCTCCAATGAAGCTCCTCCCCCAGGCCCAGCCCAGTTCAGGTAACAGGTGTAGGCGAGCATCGAGGCCTAACAGGTTTTCAGATTCAGTGTCATTTGTGTTGAGTTGAAACAGGTCTTCTATCTGCTTCCAGTGGTCCTGTGTTTGGAGCCTGAGGAGGAGCGTGAGGAGGAGGAGCAGAGGCTGAGGAGGTCCAAAGGGTTTCTGCTGAGTGTGTGTTACGCAGCGAGTATAGGAGGAATCGCAACCTTGACGGGAACTGGACCGAACCTGGTCCTGGTGGGACAAATGAGCCAGTAAGCGAGACCAGAGAGAGAAGCCAGAGAGAGAGACCAGAGAGAGACCAGAGAGAGAGGCCAGAGAGAGAGACCAGAGAGAGACCAGAGAGAGACCAGAGAGAGAGAGACCAGAGAGAGGCCAGAGAGAGACAAGAGAAAGAGACCAGAGAGAGACCAATGAGACGAGAGAAACCAGAGAGGGAGACCAGAGAGAGACCAAAAAATAGTACAGTATTATTATTGTGCTGGCCGTTAGTAGCATATGGACGTTATAATGACCTAGTTTTTTGTTTGGGATATCTTTTTGCCTTTTTTGAGACTTCCGCTAGCTTACAGATGATAGGTTACAGCCGTTAGCATTGGATTAAACGGATATAAGGAGTGCCTTTCACCATGGTGTTAGCTTAACGCGGAAGGACGTGATTTGATTTGATTCTGGGCCAATCCCTTATTTGGGCATTTGTTCCAACGGTGTTAGCTTCGTGCCAACTTGTTGCCAAGGCAAGTTGGAGTTTTGCTAAAAATTAAGGCATCTGATTGGTCAATCCTATATGACTCATATCTGGATTTGAGTTTCAGGATAACGTGAGTGCGATGCTAATAGTTACTGAGCTGGAGGAGTTTACTTTAACATTTAAATCAATACAAGCCAGAGCGAGTTAGAGTCAAACTTCACCATGAGCACTTCCCTATGCTAGCAGGTTAGCATTGACAATCTGTGTACAGTTTCTGGTAACACCCTGTTCTCTCCTCAGACTGTTCCCGCAGAACCCAGACGTGATCAACTTTGCGTCGTGGTTCGCCTTCGCCTTCCCCACCATGTTACTGATGCTGCTGCTCGCCTGGCTCTGGCTGCAGCTGCTCTACGTTGGCTCTAGGTACACACAATATCGTAGAGCCAAATCAGATAGATACTTTAATGATCCCCCATAGGTGAAATTCAGGTGTCCAGTAGCAGTAGAAACACATGCATCCATACAAAAAAAACAAATACATAATTCTAAATGTAGCTAACAATAGCGATAAAATGCAACAGCACTTCAGGTCACCGCAGCCGTAGCCTGGTCGTACCACACCATAGTACAAATTATATTTCGTACTAAGGTCTTGATTTGCTCCATTGGGCTCCGTTAACAGGTGGGAGGGGTTAACTCCTTGAAACGATTGGATCTGAGTTTACCGGCACGTATGTAATGCGCCCGAGTGAGTTGTTAGCATTTAGCCTAGCCATCTCCTTCGCTGCTAACAGAGCCTGTGGGGAGTAGCGCCACAATCTTTGCCAGATTTACATTTGCTAAACATTCCTCTTGCTCCGGCTTCAATTTCTTGATAGTAAAGTATTCTGGTCTGGTTCTATCGCATTGTTCGCCATTACCAAACTACAACCTGCCCGTTCGGCGCAAACTCTTGACTTCACCCACAACTAACTACAACACCCGCCTCCCGCGCTCTTTGATTGGTCGGATGGAATTCAACCGGTTGTATTCGCTAACACAGGGACCAGACCCAGACGTTACATGCAGGAAATGATGATTGAGTGGAACGGATGGCTAAGGCCAGGCTACCGCAGCAGAGGTGGAGCCGCTTGGTTTGGACCATTTTCTCTGATCTGGTCCAGAGTAAAATGCCGAATGCTTTGTTAGCATTTTTCAAAAGTTAGCATTCCTCCAACGAAGCTTGATCTGCTCGTTCAGTTTGTGAATTCTCTCTGTTCTGGTCTGGATCAGTATTAAACTATGAACACTCTACTACAGTAACATTTACAAGTGGAAAACAGCCATAAAAATAACAGTTGTAAAACAAAACTGTTTCAGAGCTACTTAGGACCTGCTGCCGTTTCCTGCGCATTCAAAAGTAAAACGTAAAATTAACGCTGGGGTATGTCACATTAGTCTCATAAATAACAAATGTTTAAAGCTGTCTTAATCTAAAAACAAGTTATCTTTTGTGTAAGAGCCCTGTGAGTGATTGTTTGCCTCGTCATTGAGAGCTGAAGGAGGTTGGTTCTCTGTCATCCACTTTTCTGTCTGATAAAGCTGTTTTAGAGGCAGGAACTAGAGACATGGGTTTATCACAGAGTTCTGTTGGTGTGGGTGGAAAGTTACCCAGCTTTAATGTTGGGCTTTGGACTTCAGAATAAAACAAAACAAAGCGAAAACTTTATTCTCTATATATTTTATTTCTCTCTCCAAACATGAAAAGCCAAAGTAGATGTTTTCAGTGAGAGATGAAACTGTTCTCCCACTGAGTCACATTCTGCAGTCTGTGGACACAGCACTGTTGTTCTGAGCTCAATTACATTAGTGAACAGAGCACACAAGAGGGTCAGAGAGACCAGAGAGAGACCAGAGAGAGACCAGAGAGAGAGACCAGAGAGAGAGACCAGAGAGAGACCAGAGAGAGACCAGAAAGAGACCAGAGAGAGACCAGAGAGAGAGACAAGAGAAAGAAACCAGAGGGAGACCATAGAGAGACCAGAGAGAGACCAGAGAGAGAGAGACAAGAGAGAGACCAGAGAGAGACCAGTGGGAGACCAGAGAGAGACCAGAGAGAGACCAGAGAGAGAGACAAGAGGGAGACCAGAGAGAGACAAGAGAGAGACCAGAGAGAGACCAGAGAGAGAGACCAGAGAGAGAGACCAGAGAGAGACCAGAGAGAGAGACAAGAGGGAGACCAGAGAGAGACAAGAGAGAGACCAGAGAGAGACCAGAGAGAGACCAGAGAGAGACCAGAGAGAGAGACAAGAGGGAGACCAGAGAGAGACAAGAGAGAGACCAGAGAGAGACCAGAGAGAGACCAGAGAGAGAGACCAGAGAGAGACCAGAGAGAGAGACAAGAGGGAGACCAGAGAGAGAGACCAGATGGAGACCAGAGAGAGAGACAAGAGGGAGACCAGAGAGAGAGACCATAGAGAGACCAGAGAGAGAGACTAGAGAGAGACCAGAAAAGAGAGACCAGAGAGAGACCAGAGAGAGAGACCAGAGAGAGAGACCAGAGAGAGAGACCAGAGAGAGACCAGAAAGAGAGACCAGAGAGAGACCAGAGAGAGAGACCAGAGAGAGAGACCAGAGAGAGAGACCAGAGAGAGACCAGAGAGAGAGACCCAGAGAGAGAGACCAGAGAGAGACCAGAGAGAGAGACCAGAGAGAGAGACCAGAGAGAGAGACCAGAAAGAGACCAGAAAGAGACCAGAGAGAGACCAGAGAGAGAGACCAGAGGGAGACCAGAGAGAGACCAGAGAGAGAGACCAGAGAGAGACCAGAGAGATACCAGAGAGAGACAAGAGAGAGACCAGATAGAGACCAGATAGAGACCAGAGAGAGACCAGAGAGAGAGACCAGAGAGAGACCAGAGAGAGACAAGAGAGAGACCAGATAGAGACCAGAGGGAGACCAGAGAGAGACCAGAGAGAGAGACCAGAGAGAGACCAGAGAGGGCGACCCTAATTTGACTTTGTTTCTCCCCAGCGCTTTTAGACACTGCAGTACCTCTCGCTCGCCACAGGAGGAGCAGGCCTTCAGAATAATCCAGGACCAGCACCGCAGGTTGGGACCCGTCAGCTTCGCCCAGTGCAGTGTGATGTTGCTTTTTGGCCTCATGGTGGCGCTGTGGTTCACCAGAGACCCACGCTTCATGGACGGATGGGCCACACACCTGTTTAACAGCAACAAGGAGTGAGTCACCGGCACACTCACTGCGCCAAGACGATTGAAACTAACTCACACTGACTCCATGAGGATTAGAGCTAACTCACACTGACTCCATGAGGATTAGAGCTAACTCACACTGACTCCATGAGGATTAGAGCTAACTCACACTGACTCCAAGGGGTTTAGAGCTAACTCACACTGACTCCATGAGGATTGAAGCTAACTCACACTGACTCCATGAGGATTGAAGCTAACTCACACTGACTTCATGATTATTGAAGCTAACTCACACTGACTCCATGAGGATTGAAGCTAACTCACACTGACTCCAAGGGGTTTAGAGCTAACTCACACTGACTCCATGATTATTGAAGCTAACTCACACTGACTCCATGATTATTGAAGCTAACTCACACTGACTCCATGAGGATTGAAGCTAACTCACACTGACTCCATGAGGATTAGAGATAACTCACACTGACTCCATGAGGATTAGAGCTAACTCACACTGACTCCATGAGGATTAGAGATAACTCACACTGACTCCATGAGGATTGAAGCTAACTCACACTGACTCCATGAGGATTGAAGCTAACTCACACTGACTCCATGAGGATTGAAGCTAACTCACACTGACTCCATGAGGATTGAAGCTAACTCACACTGACTCCATGAGGATTGAAGCTAACTCACACTGAGTCCATGAGGATTGAAGCTAACTCACACTGACTCCATGAGGATTGAAGCTAACTCACACAGGTGGTTCAGGGATAATTTCATCAGTATTTGTTCGTCGCTTCAGTGTCCTGTTTATTTTGGAATACACAAAATGTTATCTCCGATGTCACAAGACAGGTTTAAACCAGGACTGAACCAGGTTTAAACCAGGACTGAACCAGGTTTAAACCAGGACTGAACCAGGTTTGAACCAGGACTAAACCAGGCCTGAACCAGATCTGAACCAGTTCTGAACCAGCTCTAGACCAGGTCTGAACCAGGTCTGAAACTGGTTGACCTAAGACCTGTCGGACTCAGGGTCAGTGCGTCAGCGGAAGGAAACATCGATCGAACACATTTGACACAAATAGAAAAGTTTATCTGACCTCTGTCCTACTGTCCTCCTGAAGCTGAGGTACGTAGCTACTGTCCCCTTTAAGATATGAGGTACTCTCTTTGGAGCATTGTCCCCTGGTGACATCACAGAGTACACTGATGACATGTCAGAGGGCTGTAGTAAACATGTTTTTGGGAATGACTCTGAACAGACATTGGAGATGTTCTGGAGGTCACAGTGTCCTCTCCAATCTGGACTGTCTCCTGTTTACTGAAAACACATATAATTTGGACTGAAAACACGTATGTTTGGACTGAAAACATGTATATTTGGACTGGAAACACATATGTTTGAGCTGAACACATATATGTTTGGACTGAAAACACGTATTGTTGCGCTGAACACACGTATGTCCTTCAGGTTCGTGACAGATGCCACGGTGGCGCTCTTTGTGGCTGTGCTGCTCTTCATCCTTCCATCAGAACCGCCCACTTATCTCTACTTCTGGAGAGACTCAGGTAACCATAGCAGCCAGATGTGTTAACTCCCTGTGTGTCCTGTCCAATCAGAGGCCTTGTGTACTCTTGGCCACGCCCCTCCTCTCCTTACATGGTCGGTGTGTTCATACCCAGTGTGTCATGTTCATTCAGAGGCCTCGGTGTGCTCTGGCCCCGCCCCTCCACTCCTTACATGGTCAGTGGCTCAGAAGAAGATTCCCTGGAACATTGTGTTGCTGTTGGGAGGAGGCTTCGCTCTGGCCAAAGGCAGCGAGGTATACTCTCTCTCCTGAAGATGGAGCTGTAGTAACATGTCTGTCCTGATGGTGGAGCTGTAGTAACATGTCTCTCCTGAAGATGGAGCTGTAGTAATATGTCTGTCCTGATGGTGGAGCTGTAGTAACATGCCTCTCCTGAAGACAGAGCTGTAGTACCATGTCTCTCCTGAAGACAGAGCTGTAGTAATATGTCTCTCTGAAGGGGGAGCTGTAGTAACATGTCTCTCCTGAAGGTGGAGCTGTAGTAACATGTCTCTCCTGAAGGGGGAGCTGTAGTAACATGTCTCTCCTGAAGGGGGAGCTGTAGTAACATGTCTCTCCTGAAGGCAGAGCTGTAGTAACATGTCTCTCCTGAAGGCAGAGCTGTAGTACCATGTCTCTCCTGAAGGCGGAGCTGTAGTAACATGTTTCTCCTGAAGGTGGAGCTGTAGTAACATGTCTCTCCTGAAGGGGGAGCTGTAGTAACATGTCTCTCCTGAAGGGGGAGCTGTAGTACCATATCTCTCCTGAAGACAGAGCTGTAGTAATATGTCTCTCCTGAAGGCGGAGCTGTAGTAACATGTCTCTCCTGAAGGCAGAGCTGTAGTACCATGTCTCTCCTGAAGGCGGAGCTGTAGTACCATGTCTCTCCTGAAGACAGAGCTGTAGTAACATGTCTCTCCTGAAGGCGGAGCTGTAGTAACATGTCTCTCCTGAAGGCGGAGCTGTAGTAACATGTCTCTCCTGAAGGCAGAGCTGTAGTAACATGTCTCTCCTGAAGGGGGAGCTGTAGTAACATGTCTCTCCTGAAGACAGAGCTGTAGTAACATGTCTCTCCTGAAGGGGGTGCTGTAGTAACATGTCTCTCCTGAAGGTGGAGCTGTAGTAACATGTCTCTCCTGAAGGGGGAGCTGTAGTAACATGTCTCTCCTGAAGGCAGAGCTGTAGTAACATGTCTCTCCTGAAGGCGGAGCTGTAGTACCATGTCTCTCCTGAAGACAGAGCTGTAGTAATATGTCTCTCCTGAAGGCGGAGCTGTAGTAACATGTCTCTCCTGAAGGGGGAGCTGTAGTAACATGTCTCTCCTGAAGGCAGAGCTGTAGTACCATATCTCTCCTGAAGACAGAGCTGTAGTAATATGTCTCTCCTGAAGGCGGAGCTGTAGTAACATGTCTCTCCTGAAGGCAGAGCTGTAGTACCATGTCTCTCCTGAAGGCGGAGCTGTAGTACCATGTCTCTCCTGAAGACAGAGCTGTAGTAACATGTCTCTCCTGAAGGCGGAGCTGTAGTAACATGTCTCTCCTGAAGGCGGAGCTGTAGTAACATGTCTCTCCTGAAGGCAGAGCTGTAGTACCATGTCTCTCCTGAAGGCAGAGCTGTAGTAACATGTCTCTCCTGAAGGGGGAGCTGTAGTAACATGTCTCTCCTGAAGACAGAGCTGTAGTAACATGTCTCTCCTGAAGGGGGTGCTGTAGTAACATGTCTCTCCTGAAGGTGGAGCTGTAGTAACATGTCTCTCCTGAAGGGGGAGCTGTAGTAACATGTCTCTCCTGAAGGCAGAGCTGTAGTAACATGTCTCTCCTGAAGGCGGAGCTGTAGTACCATGTCTCTCCTGAAGACAGAGCTGTAGTAATATGTCTCTCCTGAAGGCGGAGCTGTAGTAACATGTCTCTCCTGAAGGGGGAGCTGTAGTAACATGTCTCTCCTGAAGGCAGAGCTGTAGTACCATGTCTCTCCTGAAGACAGAGCTGTAGTAATATGTCTCTCCTGAAGGCGGAGCTGTAGTAACATGTCTCTCCTGAAGGCAGAGCTGTAGTACCATGTCTCTCCTGAAGGCGGAGCTGTAGTAACATGTCTCTCCTGAAGGGGGAGCTGTAGTAACATGTCTGTCCTGATGGTGGAGCTGTAGTAACATGTCTGTCCTGATGGCGGAGCTGTAGTAACATGTCTCTCCTGAAGGCAGAGCTGTAGTACCATGTCTCTCCTGAAGGCGGAGCTGTAGTAACATGTCTCTCCTGAAGGGGGAGCTGTAGTAACATGTCTCTCCTGAAGACGGAGCTGTAGTAACATGTCTGTCCTGATGGTGGAGCTGTAGTAACATGTCTCTCCTGAAGACGGAGCTGTAGTAACATGTCTCTCCTGAAGGGGGAGCTGTAGTAACATGTCTCTCCTGAAGGTGGAGCTGTAGTAACATGTCTCTCCTGAAGGGGGAGCTGTAGTACCATGTCTCTCCTGAAGACGGAGCTGTAGTAACATGTCTCTCCTGAAGGGGGAGCTGTAGTAACATGTCTCTCCTGAAGGCAGAGCTGTAGTAACATGTCTCTCCTGAAGGCGGAGCTGTAGTAACATGCCTCTCCTGAAGGTGAAGCTGTAGTAACATGTCTCTCCTGAAGGTGGAGCTGTAGTAACATGCCTCTCCTGAAGGTGGAGCTGTAGTAACATGTCTCTCCTGAAGGTGGAGCTGTAGTAACATGTCTCTCCTGAAGGTGGAGCTGTAGTAACATGTCTCTCCTGAAGGGGGAGCTGTAGTAACATGTCTCTCCTGAAGGTGGAGCTGTAGTAACATGCCTCTCCTGAAGACGGAGCTTTAGTAACATGTCTCTCCTGAAGGCAGAGCTGTAGTAACATGTCTCTCCTGAAGGGGGAGCTGTAGTAACATGTCTCTCCTGAAGGCAGAGCTGTAGTAACATGTCTCTCCTGAAGGCAGAGCTGTAGTAACATGTCTCTCCTGTAGGTGGAGCTGTAGTAACATGTCTCTCCTGAAGGGGGAGCTGTAGTAACATGTCTCTCCTGAAGGTGGAGCTGTAGTAACATGTCTCTCCTGAAGGGGGAGCTGTAGTAACATGTCTCTCCTGAAGGCAGAGCTGTAGTAACATGTCTCTCCTGAAGGCAGAGCTGTAGTAACATGTCTCTCCTGAAGGTGGAGCTGTAGTAACATGTCTCTCCTGAAGGGGGAGCTGTAGTAACATGTCTCTCCTGAAGGTGGAGCTGTAGTAACATGTCTCTCCTGAAGGCGGAGCTGTAGTAACATGTCTCTCCTGAAGGGGGAGCTGTAGTAACATGTCTCTCCTGAAGGCAGAGCTGTAGTAACATGCCTCTCCTGAAGACGGAGCTGTAGTAACATGTCTCTCCTGAAGGGGGAGCTGTAGTAACATGTCTCTCCTGAAGGCAGAGCTGTAGTAACATGTCTCTCCTGAAGGTGGAGCTGTAGTAACATGTCTCTCCTGAAGGTGGAGCTGTAGTAACATGTCTCTCCTGAAGGGGGAGCTGTAGTAACATGTCTCTCCTGAAGGGAGAGCTGTAGTAACATGTCTCTCCTGAAGGCAGAGCTGTTGTAACATGTCTCTCCTGAAGGGGGAGCTGTAGTAACATGTCTCTCCTGAAGGTGGAGCTGTAGTAACATGTCTCTCCTGAAGGTGGAGCTGTGGTCACATCTCTGTATTACAGGAGTCCGGTTTGTCCCGGTGGCTCGGGGAACAGATGACTCCCCTCCAGACAGTGCCACCGTGGGCCGTTGCAATGGTGGTCTGCCTCCTCGTCGCCACCTTCACAGAGTGTGCCAGTAACGTTGCCACTGCAACACTTTTCCTGCCCATCCTTGCCTCCATGGTAACACAAAGTCCTATGTCCTCCATGTTTGTAGTCCTCACTGCATATTTGTAGTCCTGTGTCCTCATTGTCTGTAGTTCGATGTAATCTGTGTCTTAAATTATCTGTCCTTCATGTTTGTAGTCATGTGTCCTCTATGTTTGTAGTCATGTGTCCTCTATGTTTGGAGTTCAGTGTCTTCCATGTTTGGAGTTCAGTGTCCTCCATGTTTGGAGTTCAGTGTGTTCCATGTGTGCCCAGTCCATGTTTGCATCCCTAACACTATGTTTGTAGTCCCAGTCCATGTCCCTGAACCCACTCTACGTGATGATCCCGTGCACGCTCAGCGCCTCCTTGGCTTTCATGCTTCCTGTGGCCACGCCCCCAAATGCCATCGTCTTCTCCTATGGATACCTTAAAGTCTCCGACATGGTGAGTCCTGGTGGATCTATACATGGATCTATGATAATATCTGGATAGGTTATTACTAGCATGGAGCTGTTCCACCCACAGGCACAGGGGACACCCGCTGTACTGCAGACTAAATTCACTCGGGCTACCCACAGAAAACCTTTAGCTTTCATAAAGATTGGATCTTGTGGTCTCAGACTGGTCTCTCTAGTCTCAGACTGGTCTCTCTGGTCTCACATTGGTCTCTCTGGTCTCTCTGCAGGCTCGCTCTGGTGTGGTCATGAACCTCATCGGTCTCCTCTGCATCACTCTGGCTCTGAACAGTTGGGGAAGAGTTCTGTTCCAGTTCCATACTTTCCCAGAGTGGGCTAATAATACTGCTCTGTAGTTCTTGTACTTCTGCTCCTACTACTACTGTTGCTACTGTATTTACTACTGCTACTACTACTGCTGCTGGTGCTGCTGCTTCTGCGACTGCATCTGCATTTATTGCCACAGCTACTTCTTCCACTACTTCTGCTACTACTGCGATTACTCATACTACTGACACTACTGCTGCTGTTACTACTACCACTACTACGACTGCTGATATTACTATTATTACTGCTAATACTACCACTATGACTACTACTGCTGCTACTACTACTACTACTGAAGAAGATGTGCAACGATACTACTGCTACTACTGATAAACTATTACTACTATTATTGCTATTTCCATCTCACAGTAGACCAACTATACTGCGTAACTATATTACTACTACAGCTATTTCTAGTAACCCTCACCCTAATGGAGCTGTTACTCCAGCATGCTTCAGCTTGTGCAGCAGCCCCCCTCCTCATCGTCTTCAAAGCAGTGGGACATCACCAAAATCTAATCCAACAATAACATTGTACAATATACTGCGAAACCTCACTCAGGTAAAAAAAAAAAATGAACAAAATGTTTGTACTACTACTACTAGTACTACTGCTACTACTGCTGATACTACTACTTCTAATAGTAGTACAGTACTACAGTTACTACTACTACTGACATTACTGATGGTTGTTACTACTACTGTGACAGTTGGTAAACGGTTTGTACTTTGGTCTCATGTTTAAATTAATTGTAAATATTAATAAAATGCTTATAGACAACTGTCTTTAATTGAGTGTAACATGTATTCAATAAAGTTAGATTAAATAAATTCAACGGCGATCATGTGATTGTGAAGAACCTGCTGTAGATGAGATTCCAACATCCACTTCATAAAGAAGTATCAGGAGTCACTATATTATAAGATAAAATAAACACTAGTGATCTCACAATTGAGAAATGTACACATTTAAAGATCAGGGTTTTATGGTGGGTTTATGTTTTGTTAATTACATCGGAGGTACGTAACATTTAAATGGTCCTGGTAGAGTCTGACAGCTGAAGTCATGTTTGCATACAGCCTTAATTAGTGTTCGATGTACAGTCTGATAGCAGAAGCAGTGTTTACTGTACAGTCTGACAGCTGATGCAGGGTTTGCTAAATAGTCTGACAGCTGATCCCAGGAGAAATCTTCACGTTGTAATCGTAAATTCTTCCCAAATATGTGTACATTTTCTAATCTGTATCTCCCGCCGCGGTCTGGCGCTCTCTGCCGTCTGAACACCGTAAGTGCTGGTGCCGTAAAGGACGTTAAACTGTCGTAAAGGCGCTCCTCGGCAAAACATGGCTGCCGTTTTCCACGTCCGTCTGACATAAACGTATCCTTCTGTGATAAACGTTAATAACCTGTAATAACCACAGAATACGCGCACCCGCAACACCACCTACAGTGCGGTTCGCGTTCACACAGGGATCCGCGCCCGTCGCCATGGAAACCGGTGAGTTATGGTTCTGACTCTACTTCGAGTTAGCCCTGTTAGCATCGGCACTCTTTGTTTTTAGCATGAATAAACAGAAGCCGACAAAAAACAATGTGTCCCTGAAGATGTGTGTGTCGCGTCTAGACATCTGGGCTCATTTACGTGCAGACAAGTAAACATTGGAGTAGAATATTTAATTTTAAAACGTCAATCTTCTGTGTAGTGACGTGTTCATAATGTATCCAGCTGAGGACACTATTCAAAATCTGAAGGTAAATTTGGTGTGACGACATGAGTATGATGTACGTGGCTAAAGCTGGGGTACGTAATTTTAAAACAGCAACACCAGAACAGTGAATGTGCTTGGAGAGTTTTCAGTGGGTTCTGTCTTGGATGTCCCCTGTCCCTGCTGTCCTCCCTGCTGTCCCCTGTCCCTGCTGTCCTCCCTGCTGTCCCCTGTCCCTGCTGTCCTCCCTGCTATCCCCTGTCCCTGCTGTCCTCCCTGCTGTCCCATGTCCCTGCTGTCCTCCCTGCTGTCCTCCCTGCTGTCCTCCCTGCTGTCCCCTGTCCCTGCTGTCCTCCCTGCTGTCCCCTGTCCCTGCTGTCCTCCCTGCTGTCCCCTGTCCCTGCTGTCCTCCCTGCTATCCCATGTCCCTGCTGTCCTCCCTGCTGTCCCCTGTCCCTGCTGTCCTCCCTGCTGTCCCCTGTCCCTGCTGTCCTCCCTGCTATCCCCTGTCCCTGCTGTCCTCCCTGCTGTCCCCTGTCCCTGCTGTCCTCCCTGCTGTCCCCTGTCCCTGCTGTCCTCCTTGCTGTCCCCTGTCCCTGCTGTCCTCCCTGCTGTCCCCTGTCCCTGCTGTCCCCTGTCCCTGCTGTCCCCTGTCCCTGCTGTCCCCTGTCCCTGCTGTCCTCCCTGCTGTCCTCCCTGCTATCCCCTGTCCCTGCTGTCCTCCCTGCTATCCCCTGTCCCTGCTGTCCTCCCTGCTGTCCCCTGTCCCTGCTTTCCTCCCTGCTGTCCTCCCTGCTATCCCCTGTCCCTGCTGTCCTCCCTGCTGTCCCCTGTCCCTGCTGTCCTCCCTGCTATCCCATGTCCCTGCTGTCCTCCCTGCTGTCCCCTGTCCCTGCTGTCCTCCCTGCTATCCCATGTCCCTGCTGTCCTCCCTGCTATCCCCTGTCCCTGCTGTCCCCTGTCCCTGCTGTCCTCCCTGCTATCCCCTGTCCCTGCTGTCCCCTGTCCCTGCTATCCCCTGTCCCTGCTGTCCCCTGTCCCTGCTGTCCCCTGTCCCTGCTGTCCTCCCTGCTATCCCCTGTCCCTGCTGTCCTCCCTGCTGTCCCCTGTCCCTGCTGTCCTCCCTGCTGTCCCCTGTCCTCCCTGCTGTCCCCTGTCCCTGCTGTCCTCCCTGCTGTCCCCTGTCCCTGCTGTCCTCCCTGCTGTCCCCTGTCCCTGCTGTCCCCTGTCCCTGCTGTCCTCCCTGCTGTCCCCTGTCCCTGCTGTCCCCTGTCCCTGCTGTCCTCCCTGCTGTCCCCTGTCCCTGCTGTCCTCCCTGCTGTCCCCTGTCCCTGCTGTCCTCCCTGCTGTCCCATGTCCCTGCTGTCCCCTGTCCCTGCTTTCCTCCCTGCTGTCCTCCCTGCTATCCCCTGTCCCTGCTGTCCTCCCTGCTATCCCCTGTCCCTGCTGTCCTCCCTGCTGTCCCCTGTCCCTGCTGTCCTCCCTGCTGTCCTCCCTGCTATCCCCTGTCCCTGCTGTCCTCCCTGCTGTCCCCTGTCCCCGCTTTCCTCCCTGCTGTCCTCCCTGCTATCCCCTGTCCCTGCTGTCCTCCCTGCTGTCCCCTGTCCCTGCTGTCCTCCCTGCTGTCCTCCCTGCTGTCCTCCCTGCTGTCCCCTGTCCCTGCTGTCCTCCCTGCTATCCCCTGTCCCTGCTGTCCTCCCTGCTGTCCCCTGTCCCTGCTGTCCTCCCTGCTGTCCTCCCTGCTGTCCTCCCTGCTGTCCCCTGTCCCTGCTGTCTGCCTGTCCTGGATACCCCTTATCTGGTCTTACCCTGGTGTTTCCTCAGAGGAGCAGTCGCGGAGCCGCTTCCAGGCCGAGCTGGAGTTCATCCAATGTTTGGCCAACCCCAACTACCTCAACTGTGAGTGTGTCCAGACCATAGACTGTCCAGAACCACAGACTTTATTTTATGTACAAGTTTATTTTATGAGTTTATATGAATACACACGAATCAACATCACTGTAAATGTGTCAGTTTTAGCTACGCCTCTGTTGTCCTGTGTAACATGGCAGCAAAAACTGCAATCATCACAATATAAATATACGTTCAGTGATGATAGAGATGATATCACTGTTAAAAAAACAGGTCATTAAAACATAAACATGAGCATATTTCAGATCATGGATGGTTACAAGCTTTGTTATTTAACACGTTCTTGAAAGTCTGCTGTGAGACGGCTGAAGGTGGCTTTCTCAGTGGAAAAACAGGCAGATCTGTTGTTTCAGGTCAAGCGTTTAAAACAGAAGTACAGAGATAAAGACCTTATTAGGAACTCAAGTGTGTGTGTTACGTATGTGTGTTTTAGTCCTGGCTCAAAGGGGATTCCTCAGAGAGCGTCCGTTCATTAACTACCTGAAGTATCTGCTGTACTGGAAGGAGCCGGAATATGCCAAGTTCCTAAAGTAAGTCTGACATAGTCTGATATAATACACATTTATCTTATAGCCCCGTTCCTCCTCAGATACCCCCACTACCTACACATGTGTGTGTATCAATAGCAGGGGTCTCCAACCTGTAGCTCAGGAGCCACCAGTAGTACAAGGATTTAGAAACGAACTAATCAAATTGTCAGGAATGAAGCAGACAGAGGTGGTCTGGAAGTTTATTTTGGTTTCTCTCAAGTTCCAGTTGTTTCAATTGTTTCTTTCTCTCAGACAGAATAAAGGCAGTACACAGTTTATATAGTCATTGTCACGTCACACATCGAAAGACAAACGTGTCACACAGAGACAGTCACATCATAGTCAAAATAATCAGAGTCCTGCACGTAGGCCATATCGCTATCTAATCCTCACGCTCCCTTTTGATCACATAATCACATGTGATCACTCAAATTGATCAATCAATAAAGTGAAAAAAAAACAACTTAAAAAATAATAATAATTAAAAAACAAAAAAATGTATGCATTAAACTCATAATCATCAAAATCAAAATCAGTGGATTTTATCCTCTATCCTGGGAAAAAAACAAAAATTATTCTAATACTACATTGTTTACACTTCACTTATTTCACTGTAATGTTTTCACTTTTTAATCTTAGACTGTGTACTTTACTTTTATTATTCACTATAGTTTAAAACTATTCTAATCTATTTACAAATATGTTTGTATATTTTCTTTTATTGAGCCATTTTCTTAAACATACATTTTAATTTAATAAATCTCTCTGTGGTTTACTTTCATTATCAGTGGATTATTGTCAGTGGGATTTTGCTCTATGTCTATTCTACATTCTCAGGAATAAAACTGAACACAGAAAGACAAATGGTTAATATTCACACTTCTATAGTGGTCAGTGATTTATTTATTTTTATATTATCTAAAGACATTATTGTCAGGCAGTTTGGGATGAATGTACATCATTAATCAAATTGTTATTATCCTTACAAGAGCTAATCTATTTTAGCAGGTTATCCGTGGTTGGGGTCAATGTTCCACAATGGTGTTTGATTCTTTAATCTGTGCTGACAAATCAACAACTTTTTAAACTTCTCAAAAATATCTACTTTTTGTTTCTGGGCTATACTCAAATACATCAAAATGCTTTTAAATGCTTTGAATCTCTGTTGGTTCTAATCTATTTAATTAATCTAAGCTACACTTATGAACTTTTTGCCTTGTCAACATTCACAGATGTTTGAACACAAGTTAATTTGGAAAGTATCTAATAAAACTGTAATTAACTTTTATCTACTTTTGAAGTAAAGGTTTGTTAACCTATTTTTGAAGGAAATGGCCCTTTTACAATTGAAATATTAGCACTGGCTAAAAATATCCTATTTTATGGTTGATGCTTTTATCTATTTCTATTTTTCTCTACTTAATATTTCAGATTGTACTATTCATTATCACTATTCATTATAATAAATGTATTTACGTTGTGCACTAGTAACAAATATGCTATGATAAATAATGAATGTACCCTCGGGCGCGTTCACACCAATACATCCAAAAAAATTCCCAGGGCCGCTTATTAAACGAGTAGCTCTCTGCTTTTATTGTCCCGGCAAAGTAGCTCTCTGGGTGAAAAGGTTGGAGCCACCTGGTTATACCCACAGTATATCAATCAATCAATCAACGTTTATTTATAGAGCGCCTTTCCTACACAAGGCAACGCAAAGCGCCTCACAACCCATATAACATCATGCATAAATCATCAAACATTAGAATTTAAGTAAACATAAAAAGACAGATTAAGAGCACAAGATATATAAAATCACACAAGTAGTTAAAAACCGTAAAAAATTAAAATCACACAAGGGATTACAATCATAAATAATCATAAATAATCATAGCGCATTAAAAAGATTAAAGATAAAAACAAATGTAAAATCATTCACTTGTATGCACAGCTAAAAAGAACTGTTTTCAGTTCAGTTTTAAAAACTGCTAGAGTAGACGCCTGTCTCACACTCTCGGGAAGACGGTTCCAGACTCTAGCTGCATGAATCTGAAACGCAGCCTCCCCATGTCTAGTTCCGACTCTTGGCACTAACAGAAGTCCAGTCCCTGTGCTCCTCAGAGCCCGAGTTGGTTCATATGGCACCAACATGTCGCGGATGTACCCTGGTGCGAGGCCATGGAGAGACTTGTACACAAGTAAAGCTACTTTAAAATCTATTCTCTGAGCCACAGGAAGCCAGTGCAGAGACCTGAGGACCGGACTAATGTGGTCGTACTTCCTGGTTCTAGTCAGGACTCGAGCTGCAGCATTTTGGATGTACTGCAGCTGTTTTACCGCTTGTTTAGAGAGACCTGTGAACAAGCCATTGCAGTAGTCCAATCGACTGGAGACAAATGCGTGGATAAGAATCTCCAAGTCTGCTTTAGACACAATGTTTTTAATTTTAGCAATGTTTCTTAGGTGGAAGTAAGCTGATGATGTCACAGATGATATGTGGCTATTGAAATTCAAGTCTGAGTCCATTATTACTCCTAGATTTCTGACCTGAGTTGAGGGTTTCAGGGAGAGAGACTGGAGGTGGCAGATAACGCTCTCTCTTTGTTTCTGAGGTCCGAAAACAATAATTTCAGTTTTTTCTGTGTTTAGCTGGAGAAAGTTATTTTGCATCCAATCACTGATTTGTTGGATACAGTGAAGGAGCGAGTCCACTGGTCCATGTTCTCCTGCTGTCAGGGACACATAGACCTGAGTATCGTCAGCGTAATTGTGATAGGACACGTTATTACTGTGTATTAACCTACCCAGAGGCAGCATGTAAATATTAAACAGGAGAGATGTGTGTGTGTGTGTGTGTGTGTGTGTGTGTGTGTTAATATGATATAACATGATATAATATAGCCCTTGTAACTCCTCAGATACCCCCACTGCCTGCACATGCTGGAGTTGCTGCAGTACGAACACTTTCGTAAAGAGCTGGTGAACGCTCAGTGCGCAAAGTTCATTGATGAGCAGCAGCTTCTACACTGGCAGCACTACTCCAGGAAGAGGAGCCGGCTACAACAGGCACTAGCAGAACAAGCAACGCAGCAGGCTCCAGCCCAACAGCATGGGAACACTGCTGCCAAATGACCCCAAGATCTTCCCAACATCCTCCCATAGAACTGAGAGGAGCACAAGCAGAACATGCAACAGAGCAGACGTATTCTACAAAATCGTCTTCTCTCGTTCTTCCCGATTCCTTCCCCTACGTGACCTGCAGTGGTTTGTCTCCACCCACTCTCATATCTTCAGTACTGGACCCACCCCTCCCAGAATGCTCTGTGCTGACCCTGTCTGGCCAGAATCCAGTCAAAACTGTTCTGTAATCCGGTTTGTCAGCCCCAGGACTAGTCTGAACTAAAGTGGCCCTTTTATTGAACCATTTAAGCACATTCTTTTTTGTTCCTTGATGACGACAGCCTGTAGGATTTGCTGATTATGACCTTGAGAATTGTGATTTCTGATAATTGTGCAGCTCTAAACAGTGAGACACGACGCTTTGTGCTGAACTTTCTACAGATGGAATAATGACTCTGCTTTTTGCATGTCAATCTTTGTAAATAAATCTTTCTTTTTTGAGTGTTGCATTTGTTTGGGGTTGTCTTCTCTGTCTCACTTTTCTGTCTGAACAAACTGATCTAAAGTTGGACAGAGGACAAAAATACATGAAAGCAGTGATAGAGCAGAGTTATGTTGCTGGACTCTGGACTTTTGGACTCTACACCTACGTAATACGTGTACAGACTATGGTACAGATCCATCACATGCACACATACACGTATAGTGTTTCCGCTACTGGCATTCTCCTTCTGTCCGCGTTCACGGTAAGACCTCCGCTGTGGAACATCCCAGTTAGGACGTTAACAGATGTTGTATTTACTATTTGTAAAGTTAATTTTTGTTAGTTGATTAATCGCATAGTAATGGTGAGTTAACTCATGATTAATCGCATCTTTAACATTCTATTTCAAATCCACTCCAATTGAAGTTAAATGAGATTATCAAATGATGAAATGACACATTGTCATTCAGACCAAATGTACTTAAATCTGTTAGATTTGCTCACAACCTTTTGCTTTTGGGCACAACCAAAATTAGCTGTTAATGAAAGGGGAAAATGTACGTACCCCAGCTTTAATTTAGCGGAGGAGACACGGTATTTGCGTGCACAGGTTGCAAAGACACGAACACAACATCGTGTCTCTGAGTGATATTATGGATAACTGGGCGGGTCTTTCGGACATGCATTAATACGTTATTTTTACGCATTAAAGAAGCTATACCCGATTTTTTTTCTAAGTAGTTCATAAAAATGCTTTTTACTACATACACGTTGTATCATAATACATAATTTAATTGAAAACTTGAGGTCATTGATTCAACTGTGTATGAAATGTATGCAGTGAAAAGTGCTGAGTAGAGTCTGAGCGGGAGTTCTCCTCCGCTCACAGAACGAGCAGTGAACAGTCTGTGTCCTCTAGTCTCTACAGCGCTGCTCAACACCAGGGCTTCGACTTCAACATTCGAATATAATTCTAAAATAAAAATAAATATATATATTCAAACAAATATTAGACAGCCCTTATAATTCGAAATTTATTTAATGACTGCAAATAAAATAGTTAGCTCCCAAAGGTTTAACATTTGTGCACATATGTATCAAGGTTTACTATGCGTTCAAAGGCTCACGGAAATGAGGCAAGCACAAAGACAGTTTAATTCTTGATTAGATTAACTGTCCTTTACTTGTTTAACTAATAAATAAACATAGGGATACACATAACAGATGTATGATATTTAAACAAGTAAAGGACAGTGAATCTAATCAAGAATTAAACTGTCCATGTGCTGGCCTCATTTCCGTGAGCCTTTGAACGCATCTGGGCGCTAGCTTCGTGGCTACTAAAAGTATTTTTCTCTCGGAGCTCTTTTTCTCGTAATAAACCTTGATACATATGAGCACAAATCAAGAATATAATCTGTATATAACACCACAAACTGGTTACATGTTTATTTACACTTTTTAACATGCGCAAACTGAACTTCCGGACGAATCCGGTTTCCGGGACGAATCCTGCATCCACACGTGTGAGTCAAGTTGTGTTTAGCTCCTCATGCGTGTATTGAGCTGTTCTCTTGTTTCATGTTTTTGGTTACATTCGTTTCATGCCACTGCATTCTTTGCATGTATTTTAGTAATAGTGTTAGCTTATGCTACTATGTTTGTTTATTGCAGGGTTTCCTCATCTCTGTCATTAAAATATAAATTGACATAGAGGAGTCTATTTCTTCAAAAACGTGTTAAAAAGTGCTACTTAACCTGTTGTGTCGCACCCATGCGCAGTGGGGCTGCTTCAGCTAACGTTATGTGGATTCACTGCTATAGAGTTAAAAGTCTGTGATGAGACTTTTGGTTGAAGTTAGACGAGTTAAGTATTTACATTAAACATTAGAGCTGTGGTACGTAACTTTAGTCTCATAAACAACACGTACTTTGTCCAACAGAAAGAGTCTAAAAGGAAAATGTTGTGAATAAATCAGACCATAATCAAAGGCCAAAGTCCAACTGAGATGTAAGTCTTCATCTGATCTTAAAACGTTATCTTTTGTGTAAGAAAGAGCCCTGTGAGACACTATGTAACTGCATGGTTTTAGAACTGATTGACAGAGTGAAGGTGGTCCTCTCTTTTTCACTTTTATGTCTGAAAAAGCTAGTGATAGAAGCAAACTTGTTTCAGAGCCAGAACCGAGAGACATGGGTTTATTACAGTTCTATTAAGTATGGTCTGAAAGTTACTGACCCCAGCTTTAATAGGACAGCCCCATCTGTGTGTCTGCTCTAACAGGAGCTGACACACAGGAGGAGCTGACTTTTTATTTATCCCCGCAGGGCAATTCATCCTCTACATTTGACCCATCCTGATGCCACTAAGGCTCACGTCAGGAGCAGTGGTCGCAGTAGTAACAGCACCTGGGGACCCATCTCCAGATGTTGATGCTCAGCTTGGTCAGGACAACCAGAGCTGGAGAATTTTACCCAATGTGCATGTTTTTAGTGGTAGGGGAAACCGGAGCACCCGGAGAAAACCTACGCAGGCACGGGGAGAACACGCAAACTCCACTCAGAAAGGCCCTGTTCCAACCAGGATTCAAACTCAGGACCTTCTTGCTGAGAAGCGGGAGTGCAATCCACTCAGCCACCGTGCCGCCGGCGCCCGCTGTGTTTATTCAGCTGAGATTAGGAACGTTTTAATTTCCTCAGTAAATAAAGATTGTTATCTACAGTAACAAAGTTCATTATGAGTAAATGTTTAACTAACATATATCAATGCAGACTGAGGACAGACATATTGGTTCAGATGAAGCTGGGTTTGTTCTGGTACTGAGGTCCTCATCTTCTCCTGCAGGTGGGAGCATGTCGGTGCGTGTGGCTGTGGTCGGAGCCGGAGCTGCAGGGCTGTGTGCAGCACGCCACCTGCTTTCTAAACCTGGAACATTCTGCACTCCGGTCGTGTTCGAGTCTGGGACCAGTGTTGGCGGGACCTGGGTCTACGAGGAGCTGGACGAGCCAATCAGAGAGAAGGGAGTGGAACCCGAAGGACCTGAGAGACCTGAGGGCCACAGCAGATACAGGAGCCACAGCAGCATGTACCAGAACCTCAGGTTGTCTGTCTGATGTAATGAACCAAATAGAATGTGTAATAACTGGATAGCTAGCAGCTAATGGCTAACTCAATTCCATCAAGATCCACTACTGAGGCAGTAGATCCAGGACTGAACCCGTAGATCCAGGACTGAGGCTGTAGATCCAGGACTGAAGCTGTAGAACCAGGACTGAGGCTGTAGATCCAGGACTGAAGCTGTAGAACCAGGACTGAGGCTGTAGAACCAGGACTGAAGCTGTAGAACCAGGACTGAAGCTGTAGAACCAGGACTGAAGCTGTAGAACCAGGACTGAGGCTGTAGACCCAGGACTGAGGCTGTAGACCCAGGACTGAGGCTGTAGAACCAGGACTGAGGCTGTAGACCCAGGACTGAGGCTGTAGAACCAGGACTGATGGCGCGTTCAGTCCAGTGTGGGCGGGTCCCGGCTCAAAAGTGGCCAAAATGACGTGCGCTGACATGCTGCAATACCACCCCGGGCCAGTGGGGTGGACCCAGAAGTAGAATTAGCCAATGCTAACATATAGCGTTAGCAGACCTCTCAAAAACGTCTTTACAGGATGGACCAAAAGTTGGCTCTTGGCCCAAAGCTCCGTTCCACATGTGTGTCAATGCTGAGGGGATTGTTTTGGACCAGCCTAGTTTATTCGCTGTGAATTTTTGAAGTTTCTCGTTCAAATGAATGGAGTTGCGCCAACTGACGCATGCGCAGATGCGTTTTTTCACAATTTTCTTGTGGGCGGGACCACTCATGGCCATTTTGGATCGCTCCAGTAGAGCATTATTTTTGGCCCATTAGTTAGAACGGTGGAGATAGGCGTGACTCTGTCCGTTTAATATATACAGTCTATGATTCAGACTGGATCATGCGTTGCGTCTGCTTTCAATGCAAAGTCAATGGTGACGCGCGTTCGAGCGTCAAAACGCACGGACCTACTGGTCTGTCGGGTTGATAATTGAAATAATAAATTTATTTTAATACATGTATCGTACTGTATTCAATAATAACAATAGTGTGTTCAAACGAAATATTTAATTAGATCGATTTTTTTAATTTTTTTTCCCCATTTTCCATTATGAACCCGACAGACCAGTTGTAAGCTGTAGAGTGGCCACAGGACGCGTCATCAGCCTACGTCAGCAGCCTACGTCAGCAGCCTACGTCAGCAGCCTACGTCAGCAGCCTACGTCAGCAGCCGCGGAGGCTGCTATGAAAACATTAGCTTTGTGGTTTCACAGACGCAGTTGACTGCTTAAACTAAACTTTGCACGAAACTTTGACTCTTAAGTCCCACATGTGACAAAACGGAACCATCAACATCTCGCCTCAAATTGCATTAAAAATGACATTCGTGTCTTAATTCGTTCGTATTTTAACTTTTAAAGAAATTCATGGTCCACCATCTTGGTTTGCTTTGGCTGCCTTGAGACGCGCAGGTTTGCATTACATCATAAACAGCTGAGGCTGTGCATCTCTTCAAGACAGTGTATCTCGGCGTTACACCGGCCGGCCACTTCCGGCGTCTGAAAACTAGAGAATGTGCGTCTGGTGAGCGAGGCTTCAGCGTTTGAGCGTTTGCGGTCTGAACGCGACTTGAGGTTGTAGAACCAGGACTGAAGCCGTAGATCCAGGACTGAGGCTGTAGACCAGGACTGAGGCTGTAGACCAGGACTGAGGCTGTAGACCAGGACTGAGGCTGTAGACCAGGACTGAGGCTGTAGACCCAGGACTGAGGCTGTAGAACCAGGACTGAGGCTGTAGAACCAGGACTGAGGCTGTAGACCAGGACTGAGGCTGTAGACCAGGACTGAGGCTGTAGACCAGGGGTGGACAGGTGTTCTCGTAGCTGGGCCACATTGGAATTTCACATTATTGTGGAGGGCTGGACCCAATTTCTCATGGTTAATTTTTAATTTAGTCCTGCTAAAACATAGCTTGGTCTCAGCCATCCATAAACTCGGGTCATTGATCATTTCCCTACATGTACGTCTGGGTCTGATCTTAGTGGCTGCGGTTACCTCGGTTGAATCCCCTCAAACCAATCAGGCAACGGGGGAGGCGGTGTTGTAGGTCGGTGTCGGTGACGTCAAGAGTTTTCCCCGAATTTTCTGGTCGTAGTTTGGCAATGGCGGAGAATGCGATAGTAAAGTAATCCGTTCTGGTTTGGCTCCAAATATTAAGAAATTGAAGCCGGAGCAAGAGGAATGTTTAGCAAATGTCATATTTTTCTTTAAATGCGCTATACCCGTTTCTGCAAGGTTTGAATGTTTAGCACCGCCCTCAACTCGCTCACAGGCTTCTCATTTCCCCTACGCTCTCATAGCACGGAGCCATCTAGTTGTCTAGCAGACCCAGGACTTGACGCTGCAGACCCAGGACTGAGGCTGCAGACCCAGGACTTGACGCTGCAGACCCAGGACTTGACGCTGCAGACCCAGGACTGAGGGTGCAGACCCAGGACTGAGGCTGCAGACTCAGGACTTGACGCTGCCGACCCAGGACTTGACGCTGCAGACACAGGACTTGACGCTGCAGACCCAGGACTTGACGCTGCAGACCCAGGACTTGACGCTGCAGACCCAGGACTGAGGCTGCAGACCCAGGACTTGACGCTGTAGACCCAGGACTGACGCTGCAGACCCAGGACTTGACGCTGTAGACCCAGGACTTGACGCTGCAGACCCAGAACTGAGGGTGCAGACCCAGGACTGAGGGTGCAGACCCAGGACTGAGGCTGTAGACCCAGGACTTGACGCTGTAGACCCAGGACTGACGCTGCAGACCCAGGACTTGACGCTGCAGACCCAGGACTTGACGCTGCAGACCCAGGACTTGACGCTGCAGACCCAGGACTTGACGCTGCAGACCCAGGACTTGACGCTGCAGACCCAGGACTTGACGCTGCAGACCCAGGACTTGACGCTGCAGACCCAGGACTGAGGCTGTAGACCCAGGACTGAGGCTGTAGACCCAGGACTGAGGCTGTAGACCGGACTTGATCCCTGGCTTGGTGACATCATGTTTTCCGTCCATGTTTAAAGAGAGGCTCGTACTGTTGTCCTCAGAACAAATCTTCCCAAAGAGGTGATGGCGTTCCCAGACTTCCCATTTGAGTTGCACCTGAACAGTTTCCTTCCACATCATGAAGTTCTGAGATATCTGCAGAAATACTGCGACCACTTTGATGTCGGGCCACATGTGCGGGTAAGCAGCGGTCTCAGAAACATCAGTCTGATCTGAGCTCTGGGCTCTCTCTGGTCTCTTTCTCTCTGATCTCTCACTCTGGTCTCTCTGGTTACCCTCTCTCTGGTCTCTCTCTCTCTCTCTCTGGTTTCTCTCTGGTTACCCTCTCTCTGGTCTCTCTCTCTCTCTCTCTCTGGTTTCTCTCTGGTTACCCTCTCTCTGGTCTCTCTCTCTCTCTCTGGTTTCTCTCTGGTCTCACCACCTATGCTATCTCTCTCTTCAGTTCAACACAGCGGTCGAGCGAGTGAGGCCTGTCGTCATGGAGACCACTGACGGGAAACAGAGGACCGAGTGGGAAGTGACATCATCAGAAAGGAGCGGCTCAGAGCGGACGGAGCGTTTTGACGCTGTGTTTGTCTGCTCCGGGTAAGGCGTTCGCCATGGTTATGCATTAACTAACTAGGCTAACTAGCTAATATAGCTAATGTAGCTAATATGGATAATACTGCTAATGAAGTTAATGCAATACACAGTTATGTAACATGGCTGAACTCCTGCATATTATACGTCATGGAATCTTCTCAGCGTTACATCCTCAAGTATTTTATTATAAACTACGACCCCCAAAGGCATCCTGGGGGGGTTGTAGTTTGACTAGCGCACTAGCATTAGTACATCTGCAGCCAGTGGGTAGAGCTGACACATATTGTATGTTTGTGCTCCAGACATTACTCAGTTCCTCATGTCCCAGAGATCCCAGGACTACAGCACTTCAGAGGTAAGGCCCCACACAGATCGCCTGCACTCCCCAAGGGCCCCGTCCCCCTGGTTGGGAAACGGAGTGCATACCTAACCCTGTTCTTTTGTTCAGGCTCAGTTCTGCACAGTCACAGTTATCGTCGGCCAGAGCCGTTCTCAGGGCAAACGGTTCTGGTGCTGGGGGCCCGAAACTCGGGGATCGACATCTGTATGGAACTGTCCACTGTGGCTGAGCAGGTACTCTCTGGTTTCTCTTTCTTCTCTCTCTGGTCTCTTGTTCTCTTGTTGGTCTCTTTCTTGTCACTCTCTCTGGTCTCTATTTCTGGTCTTCCTCTCAGGTCTCTCTCTCTGATCTCTCTCTCTGGTCTCTCTTTGTCTCTTTAGACTCTCTGGTCCCTCTCTGGTCCCTCTCTGGTCTCTCTTTGGTCTCTCCACGGTCTCTCTCTGGTCTCATCTTAATGTGCTTATATGGCAGGTCTTCCTCAGCCACAGAACTCCTCGTCTCTCGTTTCCTCTTCCTCCAAACGTGTCTCAGACTGAATCCATCGACCGGATCCTTGAGGACGGGACCGTGGCTCTGCAGGACGGCAGAGTACTCAAGGCGGACTCGCTGCTCCTCTGTACAGGGTATATCTTCACCTTTCCGTTCCTTCACGAGTCTGATCTGGGCATAGACATGCAGAGGGACTTCGTGGGACCACTGTATCGACACATCATGTCTCCAGGCTTCCCCTCGCTCTTTTTCATTGGCCTGTGTCAGCAGATCTGCCCCTTCCCCCACTTCCATTGCCAGGTACGAGGCCTGTTACAAGTACTACTGCTACTAGTATTACTACAACTACTGCTTCGGCTGCACTAACTGGTCCCTCTCTGGTCCCTCTCTGGTCCCTCTCTGGTCCCTCTCTGGTCTCTCTCTGGTTGTTCTCCGGTCTCTCTCTGGTCCCTCTCTGGTCTCGCTCTCTGGTCGTTCTCCGGTCTCTCTCTGGTGTATTTCTGGTGTATCTCTTGTTTCTCTCTCTGGTCTCAGTCTGATCTCTATCTGATCTCTCTGGTCTCTCTCCATTCTCTCTCCGGTGTCTCTGTCTGGTCTCTCTAGTCCCTTTCTAGTCTCTGGTCTCGCTCTGATCCCTCTGGTCTCTCTGCAGTCTCTCTCTGATCTCTCCCTACTGTAGGGCTGGGCGATAAAACCATAACAATTTATATTGCGATAGACGTGTGTTCAATATCAATAGAAAATGGGGTCGTTAGAATGTTTGATAGTTTTATTTCACTCTGTTAGAAAAAACAGGAAGAAAACACAGGAAATAAAGCTGCGTCAGAAGCGCGCGGCATTCTGGGGGATGTAGGCAGAGGGCAGAGGCTTCTCAACCTATCAAGGTCGAGCATGAACCGCAAAACATTCTGGGAAATGCAAAAACAACTGCACCATGCGTCCATGGATCTACAGATCATGTTTCAATGCCGTGTCAATAGTTATGGATGTCTGTGTAAGGAATAGCATGTGTGGCGTGGTAGAGGCAGTGGGCACAGAGACTCATGGGGCAAAAGCAAGAGATAAACTTTTTCCTCGGGATGTGCGGCTATCAGAGAGCCGCACGGAGCCGTGCTAAACCAGGACTAACAATGGGGGACACTGTGCTTGTGAACATATTCCTCCAGCCTCATTCCTCAGTGACTGTAAACAAGGCTGCTATATTGTGATATAGTTGTGATTAGGGCTGGGCGATAAAACGATAACGATATATATCGCGATAGACATGTGTTCGATATCAATAGAGAATGGGGTCGATAGAATGTTTGATAGTTTAACTTAACTCCGTCAGGAAAAACAGGAAGAAAACACCGGAAGTAAAGCCGACTCATAAGCGCATGGCATTGTGGGGGATGTAGGCAGAGGCTTCTCGACCAATAACAGCAGAGCAGGAACCGCAAAACTTTGTGGGAAATGCAAAAACAACAACAACCGCAGCATGCGTAGCGTCCATGGATCTATAGCTCGTGTTTCAATGCCGTGTCAATGGTTGTGCACGTACGTGCGCGGAATAACATGTGCGGCGGCAGAGGCAGTGGACAGACCCGATGTATTCGGCGAAAGCAAGAGATTAACTTTTTCCTCGGGAAGCAAGCACAGAGAGCCGCACGGAGCGGTCACGGGGACACAAGACCCTCAAACAGCTAAACCAGGAATAAAAAACCAGGATTAAACCAGGACTAACAACCATGGACACAGTGTGAACATATTCCTCCAGCCTCATCGCCCCGTGACTGTAAACAAGGCTGCTAAGGTTGGTTAGCCCACACCACAAATATATTTATTTAGGTTTAAAAAAAAAACTAAATATATATCGTTATCGACCGATATGAATGACTTATATCGTGATATAGTTTTCAGCCATATCGCCCAGCCCTAGTTGTGATATAGTATTGTGGTATTGTTTTCAGCCATCTCTAGTCCCTTTCTCTGGCTTCTCATTCTCACTGTCTGCAGGTGCAGTTCTGTGTGGCGGTGCTAGAGGGCGCTGTGTCTCTGCCCTCAGCTCCTGTCATGCAGCAGGAGTGCAGGGCATGGCTGGAAAAAAGGCTGAGCAGAGGTGTGCAACAGCGCCACCTGTTGAGGATGGAGCATGAGCAGTGGGAGTACTGTGCCTCCCTGAGTGCGGAAGCAGGGTTTAAGCCCCTCACCCCCGCCATCAGGTCACTGTTTGAGGAAGTGTGGCGGAGGAGGAGAGAGCACCCCCTGCAGTACCGAGAGAGCAACTACAGGCTGACGGAGGAGCACTGGGAGAGAGCACCATCTGCAGGACAGAGAGAGCTGCTACAGGCTAAGGAGGGGGAGGAGGAGAGGGTGATTTGATGAGCTGATGTCTTCAGCAGGTCTGCCCCTGGTTTCTCCAAGATGTCTGCCCATTCAGATCAATGGCCTGTGCTCTTTGGCGCTCACACCATGGACGTCCCAAACATTAGCAGAAGTGACCAGGACCAGAACCAGAGACCAGAACCCAGAACCATAGACCAGAACCAGTGACCAGGACTAGAGACATGAGACCAGAACCAGTGACCAGGACTAGAGACATGAGACCAGAGACCAGGACCACTGAGATGGGGTGAAGATTCCAGAACATATTATTTTGTAATCATACTTGTGTCTGTGGTAAATGCTGTATGTGTCAAAGTGAAAAAATTGTCTCTCACTGTGTTCATATCAAATTAAAATGAATGTATTTAATATGAATGTGTCTTTACTCCGTGTCCCACAGTTTGAGAAACACCAGTTTAGAGCTTTAGATAGAAGAGGAAGCAAATATCTCAACGAGGTAACCCCAAAACAGTCCTATAGTGACTCTTACACAAAAGATAACAGGTTTTGTTTACAACTTTTTACTTTAAAGACTTTCTGTTGGAAAAATACAAATATGACATGCAAATTTAAGTTTCTCAACCTTAATAAGTGTCAGGACAGTACAGTGTGTTTGCATGTATTTTGATCTCCACAGCTATTCTTCCTGGAGTCAGGCAAGGTGCATTAAGTAAGTAGTAAGTAAGTTTTTATTTATATACCGCCTTTTCACTGCAGATCTGAGTCTCAAAGCGGTTTACAATTGTTAATTTTGGGCATTTGTCTCTCACTCCACACAGAGATGGGAGCGGGGTCGCCAGTACAGGAGGCGCATGCTAGAACTATTGGACACATTTTTAGTGGTAGGGGAAACCTACGCAGACACGGGGAGAACATGCAAACTCCACTCAGAAAAGCCCTGGTCCGACCGGGATTCGAACCCAGGACCTTCTTGCTGAGAGGCAAGAACACACACACACACACACACACACACACAGACCAAATTTTAGTTGTCAATGGTAGTTAGAGAGATTACAGCACAGTTGTAATATCACATGTTTATGCTAATTTGTCAATAGATGTCTTTTTAAAAGGATTTTAAATTGGTATTTACCGTTTGCATTAATTATAATGTCATTTGGGAGATGATTCCAGGAAAACATTGACCTGTACATTACAGTTGCTTTTCCAAAATTTGTTTTTACTTTGGGTAACTTGAATCTGCCTTCTGTGGCGTGTCGGGTTTCATAGTTGTGCTCACCAGAACTAAAACAGAGCTCTTGATAAAGCACATTTGGAGTTTTGTTCTCAATAATATATCTTGTGAAATTGAGTAACGATGCCTCAAATCTCTCTTTCACCATTAACCAAGACAAACATGAATGCATCCACTTTACATTTGTTCTGTACGTCCACCGCAGAGCAAGTCGAGCTGCCTTGTTCTGAACCATTTGTAAACCGCGGTAAAGTGGCCCTGCATTTCGTCGCGAGCGGTAAAGAGGTCCGCACTTTGAAAGCGGTTGGCTCTTTTATGCTGTTACTTACGGTAAATGTGGAAAGGGAAGCCGTGACGACGAGAAAGCAAAATGCTATATCTTTTAAAAAATCATTAAAAAAGAACAAAAAGAGGTTTGACAATACTTTCACTGCACACTTCTTCAATGAGATGCTCTTTACCACTGTGTAAAATATCATTCATTTTTACTCTAGAAATTCTGAGAAAAATGGGGGTCAAAATGTGCCATTTTGGTCCCAAAAGCACTTTTTAAAATTCATTTTTAAAAAATCGAAAAAAGTTCCCTGACTGCTTTCACTGCACACTTGTTCACCAGGATGCCCTCTACCACTGTGTAAAATATCATTCACTTTTACTGTAGAAATACAGAGAAAATGGGGGTCAAAGTGTGCACAAGTGGTCCCAAAAGCACTTTTTAAAAATCATTTTAAAAAAATCTAAAAAAGTTCCCAGACTACTTTCACTGCACACTTGTTCACTGGGATGCCCTCTACCACTGTGTACAATATCATTTACTTTTACTGTAGAAATCCAGAGAAAATGGGGGTCAAAGTGTGCACAAGTGGTCCCAAAAGCACTTTTTAAAATTAATTTTAAAAAAATCTAAAAAAGTTCCCTCACTACTTTCACTGCACACTTGTTCACTGGGATGCCCTTTACCACTGTGTAAAATTTTATTCGCTTTTACTGTAGAAATCCAGAGAAAATGGGGGTCAAAGTATGCACAAGTGGTCCCAAAAGCACTTTTTAAAATTCATTTTAAAAAAATATAAAAAAGTTCCCTGACTGATTTCACTGCACACTTGTTCAACAGGATGCCCTCTACCACTGTGTAAAATATCATTCACTTTTACTGTAGAAATCCAGAGAAAATGGGGGCCAAAGTGTGCACAAGTGGTCCCAAAAGCACTTTTTAAAATTCATTTTAAAAAAATATAAAAAAGTTCCCTGACTGATTTCACTGCACACTTGTTCAACAGGATGCCCTGTACCACTGTGTAAAATATCATTCACTTTTACTGTAGAAATCCAGAGAAAATGGGGGACAAAGTGTGCACAAGTGGTCCCAAAAGCACTTTTTAAAATTAATTTAAAAAAAATCTAAAAAAGTTCCCTGACTACTTTCACTGCACACTTGTTCACTGGGATGCCCTTTACCACTGTGTAAAATATCATTCACTTTTACTGTAGAAATCCAGAGAAAATGGGGGTCAAAGTGTGCACAAGTGGTCCCAAAAGCACTTTTTAAAATTCATTTTAAAAAAATCTAAAAAAGTTCCCTGACTGATTTCACTGCACACTTGTTCAACAGGATGCCCTCTACCACTGTGTAAAATATCATTCACTTTTACTGTAGAAATCCAGAGAAAATGGGGGTCAAATTGTGCCATTTTGGTCCCAAAAGCACTTTTTAAAAAAATCTAAAAAAGTTCCCTCACTACTTTCACTGCATACTTGTTCACTGGGATGCCCTCTACCACTGTGTAAAATATCATTCACTTTTACTGTAGAAATCCAGAGAAAATGGGGGTCAAAGTGTGCCATTTTGGTCCCAAAAGCACTTTTTAAAATTCATTTTAAAAAAATATAAAAAAGTTCCCTGACTGATTTCACTGCACACTTGTTCAACAAGATGCCCTCTACCACTGTGTAAAATATCATTCACCTTTACTGTAGAAATCCAGAGAAAATGGGGGTCAAAGTATTCACAAGTGGTCCCAAAAGCACTTTTTAAAATTCATTTTAAAAAAATCTAAAAAAGTTCCCTGACTGATTTCACTGCACACTTGTTCAACAGGATGCCTTCTACCACTGTGTAAAATATCATTCACTTTTACTGTGGAAATCCAGAGAAAATGGGGGTCAAAGTGTGCACAAGTGGTCCCAAAAGCACTTTTTAAAAATCATTTAAAAAAAAACTAAAAAAGTTCCCTGACTACTTTCACTGCACATTTGTTCACTGGGATGCCCTTTACCACTCTGTAAAATATCATTCACTTTTACTGTAGAAATCCAGAGAAAATGGGGGTCAAAGTGTGCCATTTTGGTCCCAAAAGCACTTTTTAAAAATCATTTTAAAAAAATCTAAAAAAGTTCCCTGACTGATTTCACTGCAAACTTGTTCACTGGGATGCCCTCTACCACTGTGTAAAATATCATTCACTTTTACTGTAGAAATCCAGAGAAAATGGGGGTCAAAGTGTGCCATTTTGGTCCCAAAAGCACTTTTTAAAATTAATTTTAAAAAAATCTAAAAAAGTTCCCTCACTACTTTCACTGCACACTTGTTCACTGGGATGCCCTTTACCACTGTGTAAAATATCATTCACTTTTACTGTAGAAATCCAGAGAAAATGGGGGTCAAAGTGTGCCATTTTGGTCCCAAAAGCACTTTTTAAAATTCATTTAAAAAAAATCTAAAAAAGTTCCCTCACTACTTTCACTGCACACTTGTTCACCAGGATGCCCTCTACCACTGTGTAAAATATCATTCACTTTTACTGTAGAAATCCAGAGAAAATGGGGGTCAAAGTGTGCCATTTTGGTCCCAAAAGCACTTTTTAAAATTCATTAAAAAAAAATCTAAAAAAGTTCCCAGACTATTTTCACTGCACACTTGTTCACCAGGATGCCCTCTACCACTGTGTAAAATATCATTCACTTTTACTGTAGAAATCCAGAGAAAATGGGGGTCAAAGTGTGCCATTTTGGTCCCAAAAGCACTTTTTAAAAATCATTTTAAAAAAATCTAAAAAAGTTCCCTCACTACTTTCACTGCATACTTGTTCACTGGGATGCCCTCTACCACTGTGTAAAATATCATTCACTTTTACTGTAGAAATCCAGAGAAAATGGGGGTCAAAGTGTGCACAAGTGGTCCCAAAAGCACTTTTTAAAATTCATTTTAAAAAAATCTAAAAAAGTTCCCTGACTGATTTCACTGCACACTTGTTCAACAGGATGCCATCTACCACTGTGTAAAATATCATTCACTTTTACTGTAGAAATCCAGAGAAAATGGGGGTCAAAGTGTGCACAAGTGGTCCCAAAAGCACTTTTTAAAATTCATTTTAAAAAAATCTAAAAAAGTTCCCAGACTACTTTCACTGCACACTTGTTCACCAGGATGCCCTTTACCACTGTGTAAAATATCATTCACTTTTACTGTAGAAATCCAGAGAAAATGGGGGTCAAAGTGTGCACAAGTGGTCCCAAAAGCACTTTTTAAAATTCATTTTAAAAAAATCTAAAAGAGTTCCCAGACTACTTTCACTGCACACTTGTTCACCAGGATACCCTCTACCACTGTGTAAAATATCTTTCACTTTTACTGTAGAAATCCAGAGAAAATGGGGGACAAAGTGTTCACAAGTGGTACCAAAAGCACTTTTTAAAATTCATTTTTAAAAAAACTAAAAAAGTTCCCAGACTACTTTCACTGCACACTTGTTCACTGGGGGGCCCTCTACCACTGTGTAAAATATCATTCACTTTTACTGTA